CGGAGTTGACTGAAAGGCAGGAATTGGAAGAGATAAATATGGTAAAAGAAAAATTTACAATCAGAACTGCATAGTAAACATCGGACGACACACTCGCATGAAATAGCTACACCGACTAGTGCTCTAAAAGCAGTGACATCAGGCAGTGTATCAAAACCCATGCCGTGTTAAAATATGGAAAAAGAAGAAAATACACACTAATCCAAGCTTATGAGGGGAATTAGAAAAATAAAATAAAATAAAATCACCAGAAAATTACACATCATCAGGTGCAAGTTTAGGCGGGAATAGGATACAGGAGAGGAGGACATGTTTACAGAAGGGGTGAAATTGAACGGGAAAACCTGCCCAAGGGGCTTCTCTTTTAGTAATAGGAATGATAGAATTGGTACAACTATTATGTGATGTTTTGAGAAGGAAATAAGAGGGAATGCTATACTTTGCAATCTGGAGAATGGAGATTTTTTAGTCCGCCCACAATATTGTTTCACTTTCAAGTTTCAACTATTATGTCATGTTATTACCTTATCAGCCAAGTAGATTGAGAAACCTCTTCCCTTGTAGGAGGGGAGGGGATATCCTAACAACTGCGGTCACTTGTTAATAAGAACAATGTTGGTTCGATAAGTCAAATGAGTCAAGAAAAATGACCTACGGAAAAAAAAAAAGAGTGAACCTCAAAACAAGTCATCAACCTTTAATATATTTCCACTCTAGGTCATCAATTAAATATATTTGTAACACAAGTTACCTTACTAAAGTTTTAATCCATTTCAGATTATTCTCTTAATTTTGACCGTTAAATAGTGACGGAAATCCATTTTTTTCCACATGTTTTTGGGTTCAGGGGTATTTTTGTCATTTTCTTATTTTTTTAAATTTTTTAATCTTTTAAATTTATTTTTTTTTTTAAATTCTTCTTCTTATACTTCCTAACTTGTATATACTGGTAGTATAATTCTAAATTTTAAAAAATGTATTTTCCTTTTGTATTTTAACTTCTAGATTATATAATTTTTTTAAAAAAATTTAAGAAATGAAGCAGAAAAATTCGAGTTAAAGTAAACATAAAAATTAATAATATACCATTTTTAAAAAAATAAAAACTAAAAGAATTAGCTAAGACAAGTTGTTTCTTCTAGGTTATTTAATTTTTTTCAACTCGATTGAATTATTTAATTATTAATTTTCACGTTTCTTATTCCTTTTTTTTATAATCTAGAAGTTAAGATACAAATAATAAATAAATTTATTTTTGAAAATTAATTTTTCATTTGTATATTAACTAGTAGATTATTAAAAAAAAAAGAATAAGAAACGTGAAAATTAATAATTAAATAATTCAATGGAGTTGAAAAAAATTAAATAACCTAGAAGAAACAACTTGTCTTAGATAATTATTTTAATTTTTCTTTTTTTTAAATGGTAAATTATTTATTTTCATGTTTACTTTAACTCGAATTTTTCTGCTTCATTTCTAAATTGTTTTTTAAAAAATTTTATAATCTAGACGTTAAAATACAAAAGAAAAATAAATTTTTAAAATTTAGAATTATACTACCAGTATATACAAGTTAGGAAGTATAAGAAGAAGAATTATAAAAAAAAAATTAAAAAAAATTAAAAAATTAAAAAATAAGAAAATGACAAAAATACTCCTGAACCCAAAAACATGTGAAAAATGGATTTCCGTCACTATTTAACGGCCAAAATGAACAGAATAATCTGAAATGGATTAAAACTTTAATAAGGTAACTTGTGTTACAAATAAATTTAATTAATGACCTAGAGTGAATATATATTAAAGGTTGATGACTTGTTTGGAGATTCACTCAAAAAAAAAGTTCATTGAGCACAAATTTCTTCTTCTTTGCCTTTCATCATCTTTGCGATTTATTCCGCTATATCCAAAAAGGAAAAAGATTTATTCCGCGCTTTAACCTCAATTATAAGTTTATAACCTCAATCCAAGCCTCCAAAGTTTGTGTAACTCCGCTAGTTTAAATATTGTGTAAGGTGAATTAAATACATGGCTAAACATCAATAGCAAAGACATAAAAAAGACCATTAAACGTTTAATACATTAATCATTACATAAACAAATAGTTTAGCGATTGGCGATTATCCGATGTCTTTCAATTTTCAACCGCCATTATTCCAACATTGGTACTCCTATCTTGTGTAGATAAATAATAGAAACTAAAAAATAGATAATGTATTCATTCAAAGAGAACTAGGTCGTACACGTAATTTTTATTTGTAATTAACCTTATTGTTCATGGCTACTTATTAATAAATTCGAGTGAGTTACATTACTTTCTGTGTTTTAAAATGATTGTTCTATTAAGTTATTCAGAATTTTAGGCACAAGGTATTTGACAGTTGACAGTGTTAAAAATAAAATAAAAGTAAAAATCTGAACGGGCAAAGGCCAAACTAGAGTTTGGGATTGTAGACTTTGTGGACTACTACTGGGACATATAGTTGAGGGAAGCGCCAAAATGGTTGGATTGGGATTCACCCCATTTGTCCAATAAAAGGGATCCAGATAGTATCCAATAGGATGGAGCTTAGTTAGTAGTAATTCAAACTAGGTTTGGTACATTTTTCTTTAATTTGGTCAATTTTGGTGGAAAATGAAGCAGTGGAACTATCACCGTTACATTTGATGCTAATAGAAATATAGAATACGTCCAAGATGAAGAATATGCCAAACTTCTAAGTAGCGATTTCCCCCCAACAAATGACGACCAAAGTAGCGCCAGTACCGATTCTGACATAATATCTTGATTCAGTAAACCTTATGTTGTTTTTTTTTTTAAGAAAAAAGAATATATTAAATTTGCTAGAAATCAGTCAGCCCTGAATGATATAAATAATTCGGCGGAAAGTACTTAATTGTATCACTTGTTACATATAATTTTACATAAGAAGTTTTGACATGTGTTATTTCATTTTCTGGACGTGAAATCATATGGACTTAAAGGAAAGATTTATTAATAATTATCTAATCTCGGGCAACACCAGTAAATAGTACAATCAACTATCAATAGTAATATAATTAGTGATTTAATTTGTTACTAGTATTTGACACTATTTTAATACAATTCAGTGGTTATAATCTAAATTGTCGTTGTTACTTTCGGTGGCATTAAAAGACTATTATCTTTAAAGAACAATCAACTATCAACTCTTAATTATGAATTCGTATATCATTTCAATAAGTTGGAAAAGTCTCGTCTCCCAAGTTGTTGGGGGGTAAGAACTAAAGAATCAGCAATTGAGATGAGATCTTCGATTTATTAAATTGTTGACTGGCCCCATTTTTTCAGAAGGAATTTGTTCCTCTAGTAGAAATATGAACATCTAGTTTTTTGTTTTTTTTTTTTCGGTATATTATTATTGAAAACCTATTCTATTACCGTGCATTCTGTATATTATTAGCAGAAATACAAATATCTAGTGATTAATCGTTTGAAATTCGGGAGCAATCTACTGTGTTTTTTTTTTTTTTTGATAGAAGGAGCGATCTACTGTTATTAATTCAAGTTTTCTACTTTTTAAATTTCTTTTTCTCCACCTTCTGGAAGAGGTGGTGTACATTTGAGAAAAGTTGAAACTTGATCTCACAAGTCACAAACACAGTGGATTCTTTATTTCTCCAGTTTTTCTCCTTTCCTTTCTCTAATTTCAACAGTTTACTTTTCCTTTTTGGTGAGGTAAGTAATGCATGACGTGTATTCTTTAATAAGAATTACACAATCTCAACTATCTTCTTTAGACAGTAAAATATAGTACTCCATCCGTCTCATAATTATTGTCCAGTTTGAGTTTTTATTTCTAATTAAAATTATACTAAAAGTAAAATTTTAAAGTGGACAATAATTTAAGGAGAGAGGGAGTACTATTATATATGTACTTTTTAAATTTCGTCCCATTTTCATGGACCTTTTACAAATATTTTTTTTTTCTATATAAATTGTAATCTTGAAAATCATAGAGAGACCGTGTCAAATTGATGTATAATTCATTTCATAATAGTAAGTACCTTTTATTTTTTTAAAAAAAATCAAAATTCTGAAACTTTTTATAAATTATAAAATGTTACAGGAAAATTCCATCCTTTTACGCTTCGTATGTTGTATAGTGTATCTTCTTCTTTTTCAATCGTTTGCTTTGTGTTTCTTTGGGGCTTTTCGAGATGTTAGTGTACTATTAAATTAATCTCCTCCCCTTACCACAATGGGGTGGTGGCGCAGTTGGCTAGCGCGTAGGTCTCATAGCTGAAAAGAGTGATCCTGAGGTCGAGAGTTCGAGCCTCTCTCACCCCATTATTCCTTTTCTTTTTCCTGCCTTTTTTTTTTTTTTTCTTGGGTTCCTCTTATCCATGGTGGAAGCAGAACGAATTGATAGATACAGGCTCAGCTGTATTCTGTTGCACCAGCAGATGGAAGTATAGACAAGAAAAATAACCTTTCAAGTTTCACCTACGGCCTGCTGTTTTGCCTATACTTTGTTCAGAATTACATCACCCATTACATGAATGTTTCCGTTCAACTGTATTGGCAAGTCTAGGATCAGTTGTGCACATAGCCGTGCATTACGCTGTCGATAATGAAATACTCCCTCCGTCCCATAATTATTGTCCAGTTTGAGTTTTCGTTTCTAGTTCAAATTGTACTAAATGTGAAATTTCAAACTGGACAATAGTTTTGGGACAGGGGGAGTACATATTCCAAGTAATTTAAAGTGGGATGAGCTTGTTATAATGTGCACACATTGAACTGAAAAGGTGAAGTTGTCTGCATGTAGGACTCCTTTTACATTTCTCCAACTAAATCTAACCACCTAACGAGTAGTAATATTACACAGCGTCTTCGCCATTGTTGGATTCGCGGTTTATATAATACCTAAGGGCTCAATGAACAATAGTAGGAATACATTCCAGATTTATGCTAGTCTATGGGAAAATGCCAAACTGACAGCAGTAAAGAGCAAACTCAATTCCAATCCAGGCCGCCAAGCGTAGCAGTACCCACTCCTTCCCATACTTCAGAACAACCTACTTCTTCATTATCAACACCTTCCATGTTGCAGTCCCACCAGCCACCTCCATTGGCATCTGCAACAAGCAGACAACATAAGCTCATTGTATCTAGGATAAAATTCAAGCAAAACAGATTGACTTATCGTAGGATGAGATGAATATCTCTAGGGCACTTGTTTTTTTGTTAATTAGACATACAATGATTATAGAGGACTTTTGGTGTCTCATTGATTGCTAAATTCTTCTTCATTCTTTCCCTCTTGACACCAGAATCGTCTCCAAGGACTGCCAAAACCTTCTTGGAGTATTCTACTTGATCAGCTTACCTTGCACGAAAATGAAGATTAGGTAAGTAATACGACACATCTAAGATTGTGAAACAAAATTTAAAAGTCATTTGGTATCACACACAGATCTAAGCTATGTTGCACATTAAAGTGGTAGGTGACATCATAATAATACTGTCAAAGAAGACCACAAGAGCAATAGTACCCATGGCTAGACAACTTACTTATCATATGAAGTCCCATCTACCGAAAATGTTAGCCATCAAAGAACATGTAACAAAGTAGTAGCTACATAGCACAGTTTTTGTACAGAAAAAAAGGTACACATTAAGCAGATAAACTTGCTTAGACATTCCTCACTCATCCTGACCTCCCTTGCAAGGTCATGAGAACCAAGATTTGTACATTTGCAGCCAAAGTTGAATGAACAGATCCCAATGACTGATAGGAAAAAGTACTATGCGTGCAATTTTAAAAAAGCAATTACAAGTAGCCAAAAACTTATAAATACTCCTTTTTTTTTGTCTTTGGTTTCAGAAGTACAACACATTAGCCAGCCCATCTATTGCACTACCTTTCCAGAAATATGAAACTACAGCACAAAACATTAAGTTTCGATGTGATCTTATGAGCAACGGAAACTAAATATAACTAACAGAAACAACTAAAGCTGAGCACAAACCTCGCTTTCTTTTTCTTGACTCATCAATCGCATCTGCTGTGGCATTTCTGTGCTCATTATCCCCAACTGGACGAGCACTTTCTTTCTCCGTTTTAGTGTGTTTAAACTGTTGAAGGACAATATCAATTGCAAAATCCCTCTCGTCTTCCTCTGCTTCTTTCTTACCTTTCTCTGCATTCAGACTGCTCAAGTTCTTACAACCCACCGGGGAAATAGATGGTTCCTCTTTTCCCTGTCAAGATAAGTAATTCAAGACAACTCAGGCAAAACCTTTCTATGTTGTTACAAACCTTAAACATCCGACTCAAATCCGACTAACAAGGAGCAGCAAAACCTACTTTTGAGAAAACACTTTACAGTTACTATAAATATTCAAATCTGACTCAATATATTCTCTGTTAAACTAAAACAAATCAGGATTTTCGAATCGCTTTGTTTAATTCATTCAGCACCACCATTAGAAAAACAAGAGACAGCAAGTATCCTTGTCAGCACAAGTATTTTCAAGACTAGAAGGAAGACTATTTTTTTTATGTAAACAGGAAATTCACCTTCATGAATACAAAAGGAGAACTTATGAAAACTCAAACCCCAAATTATATACTTTTTTACAACCTACTTAAAAGGGAAATTAAAAGGCCTGTATTATGTATTACTTCCTCCAGTATGCACAAATATCCACATGTCACAAATTATCACCTTTTTTTTTCCCAACTATAAACCACGAGGTAGAATCGAGCAAGGGAATCAAAATAAGAATGTAGCTTATGCAATACTTGAAACTATTTTCATACTCCATGTTAATTTTCTCACCTTAGCGAATCCAGGCAATACGGAATTTCTATGCAACTTTCTGCTCAGGAATTCAGAGAATGAAACCCTTGAACCCTTTTCATTCCCTGCTTTAAAGACCACATCTTTCTCGCAAATTCCAGTCCCAGGCCTGAAAATTTTCAGAAAATTGGAAAACCCCATATTTTGAAACATGAAACTACCCCAGAATTAGAGATGAACAACGATGAAATACAAAATCTTCTTGTGGGTTTTGTTGTACCTGGTTGCAGAACGGATGAACGTTGACTGAATGGAGCGTTGACCCACCGGCCTAATTGAAGATTGCTTCGACTTCATTTTCTTCTCTGTGGCGGGAAAAGGGGAAAATTTCGGAATGTGGAAACTGGAAAGCAGTCATTTTGGCTTTTGGAGGGCTTGGCGGTAAAATTCAAAATTTTGGTCACATTTCAAGCAAAATTTAATTTGCATTAAAAAAAAAAAGAAAGAATTGAATTATGTCATCATTAATTCATTTTGCTAATATTAACAAATGTACTAATATTTGGATTTTGGCAATACACATATTTTAAGAATTTAGGATAAGTTGCTCCAAAGTCACTTCCTTATTCTGATTTATGTCACACTCAAAAATTAAAACATATTCAATACAAAGAAACTAGTTGGTGAAAATCCAACAAAGAAACTGTCTATTTTCATTCTCCCTTCCGGCTTCAAATTTGTTTGATCATCGACAAAGATTTTTAGTTGCTAACTTGTTGCCATGCATTTGTTTGGCAAGTGGCAACAAGAAGATTTTGATTTTGCCAAGAATGTGTAACTGGTAAGGATAATTTTGTTTTTGACCACATTTAGTTCTAGGACAAAGGTAACTTGTAAAATAAAAAATGTACTTATAATTTTTTCCAAACGTATGGAGTAATAGTGTTATGCCTTTCGTATATACGTCGTGAGATTTATTCGTTTGTTCCGTAGATTATAGGTGATGGAATCATGGAACAAATTGGGATATGGGAGACTAAATAGCATCTCCAGTCACAACTCAGACGGCATCAGGAAGCAACTGTCATTGATCATCATGAAGGAATTACTTCAGTTTCATCCCCCAGCTTCCTTGGTACTCCCAAGTACGGTGTTTACATGGATGATATCAACTGGAACCTCCAGCATCAAAGTCAATACTGCAGTAAGAGTATGAAATTCATATGGCATAATGAGATTCCAATACAGCAACCCTTTTCTTGGTCGTCTAACAATGAGGTGTCAGTAACAGCGGGTAAGCAATTTACTAACCATATGCAATGGAAAACCAAAACAGATATCTTTTCTACAAAGGATGCATATCCAATTGAGGTCTGAACTCCCAATTTAAGGTTGCCTCAGAATATTAACGATGAAAAACAGCTTGGCAGCGTCTCCAAAAATCTACTATTTACTAGCTTAGTCAAACCCATCACAACGAAAAGGAAAATTATCAAAACAACATGAGGGTCAACAATGAAAGAGATTAAAAGCAATACATCAACTTTGTTCTAAAGTTCCTAGGACAACATGCCCCAAAAACAGAAGGCAACATAAAGAATCGACTCACATATGGAGATCTTGAATGATCTCTACATCCAGGAATTGAACAGATTCAAGCCAGAGCTTCATGCATTAATTGCCAGGCATAAATAATGCAAAAAGTTAATATATACATAACTCACCGTGTTAAGAACATGAAAGAAGTAGGATTGTTAAGGGGGAAGGGTTTTAGAAAGTATCATTGCAGACTTCTAGAAAGTAGAAAGTAATAAACCAAGAGCTCCACAGAAGTGTTATAATTTAACTTACAAAAGACACACAGCCCAGATCATCAATTAATTAAGAAACGGAAACCCAACAAGGAGATTAAAAAAATATAAACAGTTCATAGAACAAAAGATATTTGCATGTTATAAACCTTCAACTTTCAGAAGACACATAGCCGAGAGCTTTCGATTAAATAAACAACAAAAAACCGGCATGGTGATCAAAAAATCGGCACGGTGGCAAACAAAATATAAACAGTTTAGAGAACAAAAACAGATATTTGCTAGTTTGAATTCTCTAGTTGACAAATTTTCAGAATTTCTTTCGGCAGTTAAGTAACGTAAATGAGTAAGAGCCATAATGTTTTCATCAGCTTCGTTTATGCTTTTACCCAAACCCAGTCCATTTACTTTTTCAAGGTTGCACTTTTCCCGCTGAATGAGAATTAAGAGAAGAATTTAAAATACCCAAAAGAATCAACAACATAACATTAGAAGATATTTTAAGCATGCAAATTTAGATATCAAAGACCAACTCTTCAGCAATCTGAACTAACTGTCATATCCAAAAGAAGTAGAGAACATCAACAGTACATTCTTGTCAGCAGAAACGTCTCCAAACAAACTAGAAACATGCCATACATAAATACTACTAGAAGATTGTGAAACAAAGTGCAATAACTAGAGAGAATGATCAGCACTACTTACTCTAATTAGTTAACTGGAGTGGCCTGCCTCTGCTCTTCATCATGGAAATAAGGTGATAACAAACTCTCAGTGAATATACTCACTTCGACGACGTTGTTTATTCCAGGATACCACCTGAATGTCTTACTCTTTGGACTGTAAAGTACCAACATTGAACCGACTTGCAACAGTATATCATCATTACTTAACATGCAAATAGGCAAAGAGGATGTACAATTTTCAGGAAGATCTATATAAGGAACGGAAACGAGTTTTGTCCATGAGTCTTTCACTCCATGCTCCTTCATAATCCACAAATCTACATAACTTCTCTCATAATCATAAAGAACACAAAGGCAGCTTCGCAAAGTTCCAACTGACCAATCATCTAGACCCTCTTTGGAACTTGGCCACTCGATTTCCACGAATGTCTCACTGGCCAAATCAAAGCTGAGAAATTTCCAACTTATAACACCATATATGGCCATAACCCAATGAAGATTACCATTTGCATATTGTCCAGAATGAGATCCAGCCCGGAGAACATCCTTACCTAATCCAACTGGACGCCAAGAATCATTCCTTAAACTATACACTCTAACTTCAGTAACATGTCCACTGGGAACATGAACACATAACCGGACGGCCTTGTAATCATCATTCAATTCATCATAACCAAACCCCAATACATCATTACGAAAAAGCCGATTCTCTATATAGCTATCACGCAATTTCTTAGACTTCTTGATACAAGGGTTCCACAGAAACAAATCTTTTCCATCATCAACAGAAATGCAAACAAATCCATCACAAGAACCCACAATTCTAAACGAATTACCTGTATCTTTCATTAGATAATCACTGTCAGATAGCTCGGCACTGGTGAAAGCTTCACCGGGGGCCACAACAGAACTGAGAGAACATTGCTTCACATCGGAGAAACGACCTGGGGAATTTAGTAATAATTTAAAGATGATGGTTTTATGATCCAAATCATCACTTCCACAGGCAGTTCGGAAATGGGTTTTGATGAAGTTGGAGCTTGAGATCAAAGAACGCCATGGTTTCGAAACAGATTTGAATCTGCCCAAAGATTTGGCTGGGAGTCTTGAAAGGATTTCAAAGATCAGTTCCTCTGGAAGATTTCGGGCTGGGTACAGGTCAGCCGTTTGAACTGGCGGGTCGGCAATAGAAGCCATGGCTAGTCGAAATCGACCCTTGTTGTTGCTCAATTTACCATTGCTCTGCTTCTAAGAAAGACATTTGTTGGATTTCTGGCTTTCACCCAGAAATACCGGAAATGATTTTTAAACAATGGTAAAGTTTCTTCTTTCCCAATTTACTAAAAGAGCACCGCTTTTACAAAACTTTGAAAATTGAGTCCAGTGAATTTACTCCTTGGATATTAACACCAGTGGGATGATTATGGTATCCCTCAATCCTAAATTTCCTGATTGAGTGGTAAGGAATTTGACTAGATTGTCTGTTCTTCTCAGTGGTTACATGGCTATAAGAGACCAGCTTTGCAGTATAGTAACCTCCTATAGTTGTAATGTCTCATCCTATTTCAGGTTTAAAACAAACTCAAAATAGAATCATCACGTTTTAAAAACAAACATTATCGAAACTAATCATCATGTTTGATTATGGGATCATGCTTCATCCCCTGCTGAGTAGAGAGTGATAAGCAACTGCAAATGGTCATCAAGGAAATCCATATGGTGACACTGGCCAATCTGATTAGCTCAATATGAAGTCTGCCAACTACAAATAAAAAGGAGCAAAGAAGCATCTTTCCAAAAATCTGTCACTCGTGTACATTCAAATCAATCAAAATGAAAGAACGGGAAAAGGGAAGAGAAGGGGGGAACAAAAGAAACGAAGAGTGAATACAACAGGAGCAGAAATATGCAGCCGAGGTACAGATAAAATTCATCAGTTATGTTCAGCAGTTGAATGCTACAACCAGAGTGGCAGAGTCCACAAACATAAAGACACAACTTACTCACAGATGTTGATTTCAACTGAAATACAACTTTGGAAGCTGAAAGGGTTCTCAAACTTGGTGCTTTTGACAAAATTTTTGTGCATTAACAGCAAGTGATCCATTCATGATCCAGTATTGAAAAAAGGAAGAATGTATGCATAACTCCAGGAGTAAAGAAACAAATGCAACCGAAAAGATGATATATTCAGAAAGTTAATCACAATGTGGATTTCCAGAAAACAAATTGCCAAGCACCAAGCACTGCAGAAAATTTTACCTAAGCTCTCGACACACATAATCGCGTTATGAAGACAACTTATTTGTGGATATGTCCTAGGTGTATTCGGCTTTGGATTGTGAAGTACCATCTATGAGGTAAGATAAACAGTATTTCACCATTGCTGAAATTGCAAACAGATTGAGATACAATGAAATTAAAAGTCTGGATCAACACAATGAATGGAGACTACTTTAGTCCAAGATTCAGTAACTCCATAGTCCTTCATAATCCATAAGGTTACATGACGAGTTCTGAAATAATCATAAAACACAGAAATGCAACCACCTAATTCTCCAAGTTTAATACCTATCACACATATCATCATCGTTACACGGGTTATACGGGACGTCCATTTCTACATATGTCATCCGGCCAAATCAAAGCTAGCAATTGTCCAAGTAGCCATGTTATAAAGAACGAACCAATGGAGCCTTCCACTTAAATACTTGAGAGCAGTAGAGACAAACTACGTAACCCAATCTATAAATTCTTCAATCTTGTACCAAAAATTACTCTTTAGACTATACACTAAGATATTGCCAATGGCATAGTTTGCATTTGCTAAAAGAGAACTTTTCCGAAAATTCTTTGGATAGTTATCTAACCAACCTTAACAGGTAAGACCAAACCTTTAGTTCTTTGAACTGTATTCAAACATAAATAGGGCATATCAGTAATGCATTCTTTTCAATACTACTTGTAACTAAACGTTCTGAAAGGAAATACAAAATGTAACGATCCTATTCGAGTCGGATCATACTTCAGAAAATAGAGGAAGGCAGAGTTCTGACTAAAAAGCCATTTTTTTCATTAATTTCTTCTTGTTTTCAAAATACAGGATTACAACATATAAATAGAGACTCCAACACTAAGATTAAGGAGTTATAACTCCTCTAAACTACTCAATTCACTAAAATACAGTAAAATATAATTAAGCAACGTGACTTCATCCTATGTTTACCTTATTACTAATGTTGGCATTACATTACTCCCTCTTTTGATTCAGGAGGTTGAATACGCTCGACAAGCATCCTGACAACCTTGTAATCATCTTTTGATTTATCATATCCAAACCCAAGCCCATCAGAACTGCTGCCCTTCCTTTCCAGATCAATATTAGGCAACTTCTTACATCTCTTAGTACAAGGGTTCCACAAAAACAAATGTTTTCCCTTTCCAGTAGAAATGCAAACCAATACATTGCAAGAACCCAAAACCCAAAATGACTTACGTGAAAGGGACAGTAATAGCTTAAGTTCTTCTCCCTTTTGTTTTGTTTGGTGAGAGATTGAAGAAAAATGGCACAACAACCACAATCGTTCCCGCTTCAAACTTCATGTTTGTTATTTGGGGATGTATTTTCTTCTTGTTCTTCATCCAATTTATAAACTGAAGGTACTGGGTTTTTTTTTTTTTTTTTGATTTTTTTTTTTTTAAAAGTTTGATGTATTGAGATAACAATGTTGTTTTATATGCATAGTATTGGTCTGTTGAAGTGCCACAACGAAAAGAAATCTGTAAGGTACAGGAGTTCTTCGATGTATTGAAATAACAATCTCATGCATAGTACATGTTTGTTGAAATGTTTGGTGGAGTCGAGCTCGGGTTTTATTTTTCTGGCTTGATCGAGCTCGAGTTCACGTAAAATTAACTCCAAGTCTGAGTTCGAGCATAGGTAAATTCGGGCTTGACTTGGCTCGATTACAGGATTGATAGAGGATAGTTATTTGAGAATTAGAAAGTGATGTTTATCTTGGGTATTCAGGCTAAGTACCTTATCGTAACTGATTGTAATTACATTATATCACATGTTAATTAATCAATTAGACTTGTACTTTAAATATATACGATGTAGTATCATGTTATGCATCAATACATCCTTTCAGATTGCTGATTCACTATAGAGCTTCGTTTTTACCTCTGCAAATTAAACCGTGTTTATCTATATCCTTTTGACTTGCGTTTTAGCTTTGATGCTCAAAGTCCGCGACTTTATGAGATAGACCCATCAGGGACTTCTCTGAAACTGCTTAAATCTTAAATCTATTTTTATTTCTTTAAGCTGATTTTGCAATTTTTTTGCTCTAGGGTTTGATGTTACGTTAATGGACAGGATCAGCAGTTTACCTGATGAAATACTATGTCACATGCTATCATTTCTTCCAACCAAATTGGGAGCAACAACAGGGGTTTTATCCAAAAGATGGAGAAATGTCTGGGGTTCGGTTCCGGTGCTCTGTTTTGAAGGGCTAAAAGAGGCTGATTTCGCCGATTTAACTGCAGTGGATTCCGATTTTGGGTTCGCAGAGAGCGAGGCTGCGAGTTTCAATGGCTTTATGGATAGGCTCCTGAGGTTTCGTGGCGATTCAAGGACTCAAAAGTTCAGGCTGGAGTCTGAATATCTCGAGCCTGAATTGCTCTACAAATGGATGCGTTCTCTGCGTAATGTGGAGGAGCTTGATCTGGATATACGCAGTTTCGGGGAGTTGAATTGGAGGGATATTGGTTTCGCAGCTGCATCAATCAAAACCATCAAACTCTCTGGGGATTTCAACCTTAACATCCCATCTGATCTGTCTTTTCCGTGCCTTAAGATACTTCATCTCCTATATGTGATTTATGAAGATGATTCCGCCATCGAAAAACTACTCTATAATTGCCCTGTTCTGGAGGAATTGAAGATAAGCAGGCAGTTATGGGACAACGTTAAGAACTTCGTAATCTATGCGCCTTTAGTAAAAGGTTGGATTTGGAGTTTGAAATTATGGACATGGTCTTTTATGATGCAAATTCGGCGAATCAGAAGCAAAGTGGTGGAAGAACTGAAGCTGTTGAAATACATTTTGGAAAATGCAATGGTTCTGGAGGAAATGACAATATTGTGTGAAGAAGGGGCTCCTCTGGGCCAACCACCAATGGGGATTGATAATGTGAGGGGAAGAGGAAGGTCTTCTTCAGGCGGTCATCCTGTCGCCGCCAATCAATTCGCGGAAACATTCGCCGCCATTAGAGATGAGGTGATGAATTACGGTAGAGGTTCAGCTGGTTGTCAAGTACAGATCCTGAACCAACGGTCTCCAATTCCCGTTATCGACGTGTCCCATCGGATCGTTTGATCATTTCACCCGTATCATGGCGCCTGATCTAAGTTTCCTTTTGTTTTGGATAAACATGCTGTTTTTTATTCTACTATGGAAGCAGTCATGTGAAAACTGAAAATGCTATGGTGTTCTTGTAGTGAACATGTTAATTTTGGCAGTGCTATGTAAGAAGTTATATGAAGGCCAATAGGCTAAGATCTTCTAGTAAACATGTTACATTTGTAGTTGTTACCAAAATGATCTTCCTTCTGGCTACCAACTATTTTCCATCAGCATCTTTACAATGCTCTTCAGCAGTCTTTGCCTTTGGTTTCCTGGAAAAGCAATGTTTATAGTCGGAAATGAGGGGTTTTCTCATTGCATTAGGTATCATGTGGGTAGAAAACTACTTTCAGAAACTGGAGATGATGTAAAAACAAAAAGCCATAAAATGAAACTAGGAACTGTTAAAGTTTTTTTTTTTTTAATTAAAAAAAAACAGATTTTTCAAGGGCAGGACAGCATCAGCAATTTGCCTGATGCAATTCTTTTTGTCATACAATTTCGTGGCAGTGCAAACTGGGATCATAGGTTTACTGAGATTTCGAATCATGTGGGCGTTTAAGCCTTCTACCAACCTCATAATGCAATAGTACTTTGATGATACAATGGCACCAGCCTTTGTGCATAAATCCACCACCACTGGAAGGAGCGTGACCATAATAATTCCGACCTTCATTCTTCAGTGCCCGGAGGATCCTGAGGACGACGATAGTAGACCATCTTTTTAGGACGATGCAAATCATCCACCTTCGCCTTCTTGCAGAAGTGTTTCACCTCACAACTTATATAAGCATTGAATTTCATCACTCCCAAAAGCTCCTGCATGCCGGCATATACATACAGCTCGACATGGATGCGATCATAACCAAACCTTTGATTGTGTTGGGCAGATGAAATGCTTTTACTAAAAATAACTAACATGTTCTTCAAGGACCCATTAATCCACTCATTAACGTGAACCTTAGGCCGGCATCTAACACCGCCACACAAGTTGAAATCCAATGAACAGTGTCTCCCCAATGTACACTTCAGAGCAATGGCAAACTGTTTTCCGATTTGTTTACTAGCCTCATTTATGGAGCCAACACTGTCAGTAACCATGATCTATATGGAACAATCTGTTACATTGACATTTTCTCCTACCTTCAACTCAGACAACATGTTTTATCCACAAATCAAAATATGACATTTTGCGACCATTTGTGTATTTGAAAAGAAAAAACAGCAATTCTCTCAGTTTTCATGTATCAACCATTTGTGTTATAGACTACAACATCAGTAAAACAAACTGCTATCACCAAGTAAAGACTATAAGCAAAAGGGTAAAAGAATTCCAGAAACTCAACCTCAGAAGAAACAGTAACATAGTGCAATTTGCATACTGCATCTTAACCAAAAATACAACACTCGATCTCTCCAAGTACTTACTAGGACTAGTAATCGTAATCTAACACCAGGTATCAATTTCGGAAAAATCTGATCTGGCAGGTCGTTGATGTGATTGCAGCTTGAAATCTTTCCAAAACAAGTTGATCATCGGCGCTGAAGCCGAAGTTGCCGAAGAAACTGACTTCCTGCAGTACTTTGCCATTCCGTAAAAGATAAACCATGAAGTCGATTTCGTCTTCCCAGCCTGAAAATTTTTGAATCTTTATCTTCTTCAAATGCTGAGTTAAATAGAAGGGCACACCTATTGGGATTGATGACAGGAAACGGGCATAGCACCCATCAGGAATGTTCCAGTTGTGTCCAAATGGATCAACCGAGTTCATCACCTGATTCAGAGAAACAGAAAAAACAGAGGGCATAATTAATTTCACACCTTAATTTTCAACCAACAAGTAGAATTCAACTCTTTCTGACTATTGAAGGTAAATCAATGATACCGAACATAGTTGAGGAGATCATAGTTGGGCTCTTCGTTACCAATAAAAAGTGAAACATGAAAATGTAGCTCAGCAATATGATCAAATCTGCTACCGAAATTGAATTCTTGAACAGGAACATCAACGTATCGCAGCCATTCAAGGTTTGTGGTGTCAATGTGCCAAACGGATTGCCAATTTAACACCTTTGGCTCCACTTCCAGTATACGAAGGTATAACGATGCGAAAGGCGGGTACCCAATAAAAATTACAGCCAATCAACTTCAAATGTTCAAGAACAGGGCATCCAGCAAAGAACTCATCTGGGTTATTACCAAAAAAACTTAAAATGACAGAGAAACAACTTCTTCAGATTGGGATACCGAACCCGAGGGAGACCCGAAACAGAGAAATCAAGACGCTCTGTAAATTGCAACTTCTCCAAGGTAATGCAACCATCAAGACTGGAGAGTAATTCCTTAGAATCTGCGAATGAGACATCAAGGCTAACGAATTGGACGCCAAGGCTTGCAGCAGAATGGAGCCAAGAACCGATAATGCGACAGTTGGAATAGATTTTATAATTACAGTGACCACCATCTTCATCATTCTCGTACTTCTTGTGAACCTTGAGCTTGAATCCACGAATCTTGGCATTTATTTCCAGCAACCTGGACAAAACCCCACCAACACAATTGACGAATGCTGGATTTCCTTCAAAGGGTTCTCCATTGGGATCATGCCGGAGCAAGGAATCATCGAAATCAAGTTCAAGATCTGGGATCGATTGAAACAGAGCTATCCATCTGGGTGACAAGAATGAGCTTATCACGGCTGTTCTGTTGGGAGATATGACAAAATGCGACTGATGATTGCGTCCGGCAAATCACTAATCCGATCTTCAGCCATCTGGGAATTTTGTGAGATAATTGGAGAAGAAGAAGAAGAAAAGCTTCGAAATATACACTATAATGAAGAATCAATTGTTTTGGTTCTTGAAGGGTTGCAGTCTTATTGACACAAGTAAAAATTATATGCAAAGCTAACGGCTCAATACTCAAGGCATCCAACCGCAATTCAGTTACGCTTACTTTTAGCGGGAATTAAAAATGCAAAAAAAATAAAATAAAATAAACTAACAATTTGGAGGTTAAAGAAATTCAAGAAACCATATTAAATAAGCTATACTGATATTGACATGATTCATTACAAAGATGGTGGTATATATATATACTAGTGATGTCTGGTCGCGGAATGTACGACCCTTGCGCAATATATCTGTAGATATTAGAAATATTTGTATCTGGAAAAAAAATATTTTTTATTTAGCCCGATATATATTAGAAATATCTGAAAAATTATAGAAATGTTTTATAAGTGTGATGTTTGTATTTGGAAAAAAAATAAATTGTATTTGGCCCGGTACGTTTTAGAAATGTTTGAAGATTTTAGAAATATTTTATAAGTGTTACTTCTTAAATATAAATAAACTTGATCAAATATATGTCTTGAAATAAATGCTAGACAAAAAGCATCCTAATAAGTTTAAATATTAGTAAGATAATTTATTAATTTTCTCCATTGGTCGTGCCAAATCAATACTTAGTTTTGGAAATTTATAATAGCTTTGTAATTAGCTTCTTCCAAAGGGTATACGCTTAATTGTTGGAACTATTTCTTCCAAAAGTTTACAGGTATTAAAATATCAAAAATATGATTTTGAAACTGGTTAATTATTGAAACTAGTTGATCACAAATATGAGAATGAAAATAATATAAATTTGCATAGGTTTCAAGATATAGCAAAAAATAACTCACCTCACGATGGCAAATAAAAAAAAAAGTAAAAGATAGCCCATTAAAATTTGAGAATTTTTATTTTTTTCTATAGGTAAAAATGATGTATAAAAACACAAATAAACGTAGAAACATCATTCCTTCCCTCTCCACCTCAAATTCATAAAAAGATTCCCCATAAATTAGTTAAAAGAAGCGACCTGAACTATTTATATGATGAGAAACTAAAAAAAGTTAAAAACCAAATCCAAAAAAGTATATTCTTGAAACTCCGAACACAAAAAAAGAAACGTGCTTCATTTGCAAATAAAATAATAATAATAATAATAATAATAATAATAATAATAATAATAATAATAATAATAATAATAATTGGTCAACTGGGAGTATGAAACAAAATCAAAAGCAATTAAACAAAGAAAAAACACACTTCATAATTGGCCATATACGAAAAAAAAACCTAAAACTCCATAATAAAAAAAAAAACCACTCTTTTTGAATGAAACATAAAAAACAAATTTAAAAAACCACACTTTGTAACAAAAACCCAATCAATCAATTCCACCCAAACATAACTGAAATCATACAAAAATTCTAGGCTAACTAACCAAATAAGAAATTACATCATACTAGCTGACAACGGCTACGGTAGCTGTAACGGATGGACGCATAAAAATAATAGTAATAATACTATTCTTGAACGGAAAAAACAAAAAATAATAAAAGCCAAACCAATGATCTGTGGAAATAAAATTATTTAAATTTTAATACCTGTAATGGCACCACCACAACGGCCGAAGTAAGATCAATGAGAATTTTTTTTTTCCTTTGTGTTTATATAGAGAGGTAAAGAGAATATTTTTTGAAATTGAAATTCTATCCGATTAAGACGTAGTTGATCATCAGTAACGAAAAGATTGAATATGCTAATAGGAAAGGAGTATATTTCACCACATATTCTAAATTGATGATTGATGAGGAATTTGTTTTTTTTTTTTAATTGTGGAGAAGGGATTGATTAAAGAGTCGATTATCGTGGAGATGAGAATGAAGATTTGGGTTTTTATGAACCCGTGATTTTTTTTTTTTTTTTGTTTTGACGAAAATAGGAGGTAGAAGTGATTTTAGACAGCATTTGCCTTTTAAATTTAGGAGATGTGGTAATAAAAATTTATTTTAAAAATATGATGTGGAAATACCACATGGCAAATGATGGTGCTTTCTCTTAAGTGTGGTTTTTGTTTCTAATATAGTAATATATATATATATATATCCCAAAATTGGATAATACGGATTTTCGATTGTTTATGAAATAATCGTCTTCTTTTGATTTTTAGCTTAGTATAACTGTATTAAAAGTGAAAAATTCAAATGAAACATTATTTTGGAACGGGAAGAGAGTATTTGACCTTTGGATATTGATTTGTTTTGAACACATTTGACTGTGAGACTCTTCAGTTGTACGTATTTAGATAGCGCGGACGTGTCACACCCACAATCTATGTGATTTTTCAACGCATTTGATCATTTTCAACAAGTTTAAATGGACGTGTGTGATCTTTATACATACCAAATGGGCTTTTGGAGTTTAGGTACAAAAGTTTACTCTATTCATATGTGCAACTAATGTGGTTAATTGCTGTGTTTTAGGTCCTCACATTGAAAAGTATTATAATGCAATAGGAAAATGATACTATTAGTGAATGAAAATAGTAACAAAATATAGTGACTGATGTGGAATAATTATTGAAATATTATAATGCAATAGGAAAATGGCCCCTAGTTTTTGTTACTTTTCCGTTGAAGTTTTATTTTTCCCCCAAAATTACATTTTACCGTTGATTAATAAATAGACATGTTTAAACAAGTGGATGGTATGTTTGTCTTTTCATTTGTCACTATATATTTTCACTGTATTTAGTCACTTCAGTGGATGTATCATTGCTGAAAACAATATGTCCCCTGTGAGATCTTCTGTCTAATTTTTTAGTTTTTATGAACGTAAATGCTGTAATTCTATAATCTGATTAAGTGGCAATTACACTTGGATGTTGTATCCATAGGATGAGGCCTGGATGTAGAGAATCATAAATACCCAGAATGGTAAGGAGATGCTTGGTTCAAGCCATAAATAGATTGGTGTGCAAGGATGTAGTGGGTTATTCCAAATCTATTGTTGTGGCTAATTAGTTCTAAATTATTTTTCTATTAAAAAAAATCGAAAGGGAATAATTAAGTTTACGAAAAAAAAAATATGGCTTTTGTTGATTAATTTGGGTCAAGCCCACCAATTCATTTGGGATTGAAAATTGATCCAAAGAATGGAATGGATGGGTCCATCAATAGGAATGCAATAGATTGAACATCCCAAATCTCCCAACCATGCACCCCTAAACTTGAGTATGGAACTACAATAATAATTAAAATATTTGTTGAAAGATGTTTATCTTTCGAGAAAATTATATCCGACTTGATCCGAATTAGTGGAATCACTGACTTATTTGTGATTGCTTTATCTGTGTGTCTTACACATACATGACTTTTATACTAAATTAATATGCCAAAATATGTCTTATCCGCTTCTTGTAATACGTCTTTATTGATGTAATTTAAATATGAATGTAGCATCTTTATAACACGTATATATTTCATTAATGTAATTTAAATTGAATGCAAACACGAAAACAAATAATATCATAACACAAAAAAAAATTATGTAATTTAGCAGTACGCTTCTTTTTCTCCATTGAAAGTTCCGAGTCAAAATTTTAACTTACATTTTATTTGGGGATATTGCCCTTTCATTTTCAAGTATAAATAAGTGACCACCCTTATTCTTCTCATTGTAAATATCATAAATATACTCAATTTTTATACCAGGTGATATAATAGACAAATTCCACTATTCACCTAAGTTTGAGTCTTAATTTTAATGGTTTTCACTTTACATAATTCTGACAGTATTCAATTTTTTCGTCACTGAATGCTCTTAAAGATTTAATTTCTATCATGCAGGATTCTACTCAATTAAATTCTTAAGAATTGATATTAGGGTTCTTCTTTCCTTATTTCAATTATACCTTTTGTGCATTGTCTACCATCTTTCTTTATGGTACTTCTAATTTTGCTTCTTTGTCCAGTCAAATGCTATCCCTTTATACTTGTTTCATTTCTTGAGTAAATCATTGCTTTAGCACTTCAAGTTCCTCTGTTCCTGACTATCATACTTTTGGTCAGCTCATTTGGAAGAGCACATCAAAATTAACATAATTGTACTCATATTCAATATGTAGCTTTAAAACTTCAAAATTTCAGATTGAAATCCTACCATTTTAGGTTGTTTGCACTATTGCAAATTTCAACATTTTGGCGGCAAGTGGAGAAACAAGAGTCATATCCTGATAATTTGTTTTGGATTGGTAGATTGGAGATCATAGTAGCTCATGAAGTAGTCGTTTATACCAAAGATTATAATGGGATCACTCAGTATTAGGTGATTTTAATTTTATGATTATAAAAGTTGATTATTTTATATCGAATTTAAAATTCAACATTGCTGATACGGGGAATAAGGGACTTTATTGATCAAAATAACAGTAAACAAGTCATGTGAAACTACCACCGCTTGCTACTAAAATTCGAAGTGGGGTGATTGTCATAACAAGAAATGTGATAATGAAATTATAAAAACAAACAAAATATAAGGAACAATGCATTTTTCAGTGAACACTATGTGATTAGGTGTCATTCACAAGTCTCTTGTGAGGATGAGATGAATACATAGGGACTGCTGATTGCAACACCCCTTAAAATTATAACAAAAGTCAGTGATTTTTTCTCATAATACCAATTTTTAGTTTTTAGTAATATGCTTTTTTCCTCTTTTTTTGTTTTGCTTTTTAACACCTTTTTATTTTCCAGGCTTCCGCTGAAGAACAATATGCATGCATACATGATCTATTATTTTGGGTGAAACAACTGAAAAAATGAACAATAAACCTGAAAAGAGGCAAAATCCCTATGAAATAATTTTTTTAAAAAAAATCATTCAATATAAGCTGCAAACTTATTGCCCTCCTGATGGCAGGAAACACACTACAAGAACATTACAGAAATGACTGAGTTTGTTTTGGCCTAAATCACCCTCATTTCTCTAACCTACTCTTCCCCGCCACCGCCCCGGGCGGCGCAATCTCCAGGTGCCCTTTGCCCTCCATGACAGAATGTTACATTTCCAGGACACTTAAGGCAATTGTGCGCAAGGCTACCCCTAATTTTTCTCCTACCCTGGATGAACTCCAAGGGTGGAGTCCCTTCCAGGTAGTTGTATTCCAGGAATAGACTTCTCCAGGGTCCATCCAGTTTTGCACCAAACTGCTTTGGGATCCAACCAGAAAACAAGTTATGCCCGAGATAGATCTCCTTCAGGCTCTCGTACGTGATTAGATTTACCGGTAAATGACCATGAAGGCGGTTATGATTGGCAGCTAAGAGCTGAAGCTGGCTATGTTGGTCTAGACGACTCATCACCACAATATCTGTGAAGACATTTGCAGATACATTGATAGTACTTATTTCAGGTAATGTAAGGAGGTACCTGTCGATGGAACCCGAAAACCTGTTATCACTGAGATCCAATATTTGAAGATGACGAAGCCTCCTGAGGTATGAAATGTGGCCTGAAATCAAGTTTCGATTCAGTCGCAATGTCCTTAAACTTATTGGGAGCTGAGGCAGGTTCCCGTAGAATTGGTTATTGCTGAGATCCAACGTTTTCAGCTGCCACAGCCCTGAAAGATCTGGAATTCTTCCTGATAAGGAATTGCCTGAAAAACTCAAGTGAGTCAAGCTCCTTAGACCAGTGATGCCTAAAGAAATCGTGCCAGACAGCTTATTCCTTGACATGTCAATGTCTTCGAGCGCCTTCAGCCGGTTCAAACCTTCGGGGATGCCACCAGAGAAATAATTATCAGATAGGAGCAGTTTGGTAAGCTTTAACAAGCTTGATATAGTATCTGGAATCGGCCCCCTGAACTTGTTCTTTCTCAAATTCAATACTTCGAGCTCAGATAAGTTCCCGATCGCTGGTGTCAAGAAGCCCTCCAACACATCTCCCTCTAGATCAATTACAGTAACTCGGCTGCTAGAATTGTCTTCAGGAACTGTGCATAATATTCCGAGGAAATGAGGTCCAGTGGTTTCACAGGGATCTAAATCAAATTTCCAAGTGCTGAGAAATGATGTTGGGGAGAGTGAGTTGGGATCAATAGCCTCCTTGATGCTGTGCAATATTTGAATATCAGATTGCAGGGTTACAGAAACAGCAAAAAGGGTACAAACTGGTGCCGCTAACAGGATTGTGTACCAGAAAAGTGACAAGCTATTTAGGAAACTTTTGGCCATTGTTTTGAGAAAAGACTTGAAGGTGCATGAGAATGCATATACTGCTTCGATCAGCTAAGAAACCTGATGTAATCTACTTATATGAAAGTCGCATGATACACTTGAATCCAAAGGTTAAGTAAGTGTGCTACGAGATAACATCGCCATGCAAAATGGATTCTCCATAGTTGGTTACAAGTACAAAAAGTGTTGGCACGAGGCTGACTTTCGATCATCAATAAGGTGGGTATTAGGCGACGGAACCCTTAACTAAGCATAACCAGCCTTAGCTCAAGTGCATGCATTCATCGCCCTAGAGCAAACGAAAAGGTCGCAGCAACATGGTGATGAGCATTTCAAAACGAAGTAAGAACAATTCAGTTCACCAGAAACTAAATGGAGACAAGCAGCGAACACATTAATTAAATATATTTATGAGGGGAAAACGAAATGGTTTCAATCCCAAAACACTCCTAATGCGAAGTTTTTTGATGTAGTACTATTAACCTAGAGCGTGAATTTATGCTTCAGTAACACGAAGCAGCCAGCTAGCACATTTACAGCAAAATATGTATCGAGGGAAGGGAGTCACTTTTAAGCCTAAGAGCAGCAGTCTCTTTTGATATTCCTGATTCTAGATGTTCAACCAAGATCAGGTACAGTAAAAAACTCTTCTTCATCATCTGGCATGGTGATTCTTGGCTTCTTGTAAGGTGTGTAGAATTTGGCACTTTTGAATGATGTAGTGTTGCTTGATTGTGGCACCGGCAGTTGGGGCACTTCTGCAGCTGATAATGCTTCTTGGGCTTCTTGTTCACCAAAAAGACCGAAGTCGTTCAACCATTCGAACTCCCCGAATTCAAGCTGCTCCTTCTACACATATTTGCAACAAGAGGCCACTCCCATTAGATATTGACGAATAATAATACTTCGGTATTTGATGTTTATTAGATGCAGATCACTTAAGCCTTCTAAAAAAATGATAATTACAACTCTAGGTGGGTCGCACTAGATCTCGAAAGCTGGATTGCAAATGCAATTTCATTCAACAAGAGTAACATGCAGCAAGTTTAAGAAGGATAACAAGAAAAAAGAACATATTGCTGAAACTAATTATAATTAGCAAGAGTAGATAGGTAAAACTGCTTCCAGACTCCAGAGAGTTATTCCAACATTGGATAGTAACATCATAGATTTCTTTATGCCAGAATTAAGAAGCAAGTAAGCAGTCATTACTTCCCAATATGAACGTAAAGAGGTAATATTACTAGTTTTCCCTCCATTGTCTCAATAAATTCATGTGAAGGTATGGAAAAAGAAATCACACATAAACTGAAAGCATCACAAAGATTAGACCAATGCTGAGAATAATATACAGTCAGTTTTCTCACTTTGTCTGAGGATTCATAGTCTGAAAACTGTAGTAAGTCATCAACCACCCAAGCTGGTGATGTGACATTAGACTGCTCCGCAGGCATCTTAACAGCAAGCTGCTTTGTGTTCTGCAGCTTCTGCTTGGGTGGCTGAGGTTCCACCTGGCTATTCACACTCTCCTTATTGCAGCTGGAGTTCAAAGCTACCCGAATTCCAGTGGCCAGAAACCTTTGGTGGTTCGCAGCACGAGAATTGGCTGAATGTATAGGTTCGTCACAGTCTCGGCAGAACAGAGCTCTGTCTTCAACACAGAAAATGAATGCTGCCTTCTCCTGCACATGTGGATGTATATCAATAATTAGCCAAAGCAATGGAGATTGAGCTTAGTGGTGACATAAAAGAAGAATTCATTTAAAAATCATCTTCACCCTTAGACTTTTAGTTATAATACCATGAAGTGCCTTTGAACTGAAGGCATGGAACATGACACATGATCTCAGGCTAAAACAAACTAAGAGATGCAACGAGAATTAACCAGCAATGTAATGAGTGTTCAACAAATGAGCCAACGAAGCAAGGTAGACTATCTTAATAGATCTCATCCGCTCCAACAGAAATCTGAAGAAATGATTTACACGATATTTATAGACATGTATAGAAAACCAATGCTTATAAAGGAATTGTACACTGTGTTCAAATCTAAGCCAATGCAGGAAAAGTTGCGGAAGAGGAATAAACTCACAACCCAAATTTAAAGCTGGTTTTTGCATTTACTATATCACAAAAAAGGAGTGTGCGTAGCCAAATAGCCCTCTGTTTTGGAGTAAGATGGATGCTACACTTAGTTTGAACTGGTCTGAAGTCCAAACATTTTAATGTGATTCAAATATTCATGTGGTTTCAAAAACAATCAGGACCAGACTTAGACCGAGGGTTATATTTGCTTAAATAGCCCAAATAATGAGACGAGAAAAGCTTGTCAATAGGAATAACACAGGAACTTCTCATGCTACATAATTTACAACTTTTCAATCAGCTGAATCCGGCAGTAATATCTTTATGACAAATTGCGGGTTTAGCAAAACACAAATTGATCTTCTATGAGTATAAACCCTAATAAAAAACCATAGTTTATATCAACTGTTTCATATAGGAATCACTTTTTCAAAGAATATTGAGCACTGCAATCAAAGCTTCCCAAGAACATCATCCGTTTTACTAAGATTCGATCCTCCATCAACTATAAAGTGACCCAAAAAAAGGCAACCTTTTATATATTTATTTACAATAAATGATCCACGAATACAAGTCTAACACAAGGATTCACAAAATATGAATGTTGGGTACCAAAAAAAAAAGGGTATTCAAAAAAAGGAAGGAAAGGGCTGTATTACTTGGCAGATATCACAAGGAGGAAGCTTGTTTGAGAGGCACTGAAGAAGAAGCCTCTGATGCTTACTAGCTAACTTGTTAGCAGCATGAACCTCAACATCACATTTAGCACATAAAGCTGCTTCATCAGCACAACAAATCACAGTTGCCTGAGCTTTCTCACAAACATCACACTGGATCTTCATCTTCCTTTCCCACTAATTCAATCAACTAGAAAAATCACCCCTTATACTCAAAAAAAAAAAAAAAAAACAGTAGTCTTTACTCTTTAGCTCAGTTTAAGATAAAACCCATATGCCAAAAAAACCCACCAAATTTAGCCACAGAAAAGAAGATATTTTTCCAAACGAAAAACAACCCTTGAATCTTTTCAAAGAAAAGGTCAAGTTCCCATGTGAATAATGGACTAATCAATCACCTATGTGAAGCCAAAGAAGGAACAGAGAACAGAAAAACAAAGAAATGAAAGAATCTTGGAACTTGTGAGGGGGAGAGAACAGAAAAAGAGAGGGGGTGAATGGTTGGCTGAAAACTGGAAAGGGGGTGGAGGAGAAAGAAGATAAGGATTTTCATTACTGGAGATTTTGCGTATCAAATGCTAGAAAATGGTTGAGGCAACAGAGCTACTGTGGGGGCCGCCATTGGCCGAATTCGGGGTGTTTGTGTGGCTGTAGAAGAAGCAGTGTTGAATCGGTAGTGGTCACAATTATTTGGGATTTTATTTAATGTTTGGAAATTTGGAATGATCAAATTGACTATCGTGGACAGCTTCACATGCCGATCACCTGCGCTTATTTAATTCGGTGGTGGTTATTTATTTCAATTAGGCTGTTCAAACTCAATAATAATATAGTAATTCCCACCAAAAATAAATAAATAAATAAAAGGGTTGATTTAGAGGGAAAAAAATAAAAAGAAAAGTGAGACACATGATAAGTATTATGGACTGGATCAGTATATGTATGATCTCAAATCATGAACTTGCGGGGGATTATGGCTATTCATACTATACTAGTATTAACCTCGCACGTTGTGCGGCTAATATAATAGGCTATCTATTACTTTAGTGATTCAAAACAATATTACTTCGAAAATACTATTACTAATAATTGAATGTAGCATTTAGTTTGTTTCACCTTATATCTCAGTTGGCTACGGCGATTTTTTTTCATGGGTATATGTATATAAATGTAAGTCTTTGATTTTTTAAAACAGAGATTTGATGGTTGATTTTGATTTAATTATTCTATTTTAGAGTAATTTGTTCCTTACTTTTTGTGTTTTGATTAGCAAATAAAAATGAATAAAACACACAATCGTATATTATTTCCTGGACACAAAAAATAAAAACAAAAATGATGAGACAATTTTAGGGATAATAATAATAATCTAAATAAATACAATTAAGGAATAAGTTTAATTTATTCAGATTGTCTTTATCTTTTTTTTAAATGATAAATTATTTTAATTTATAATTATAGAAACTTGAAAGTAATATAAAATAGAAATAATAGAAATAAATAAATAAAAACCCTAACACACCTCCTTCGGCCATTCATCACACCTCTCATCCCCAGAATGCTTTCTTTTTCCGTCATCATTATCATCTAGCCTCCCCATCATCATCATCATCCCCATCATCGATCAATCTTCACTCCATCATCATCGTCATCCACCCTCTCATCATCCTCCTCTAAAGTTGGCCCGATTCATCACAAAATTTCCAAGATACAGTCAGTCGAAAATCTTTGTGGTCGGAGAAAATTTTCCAGTCTAATTAATGTATCGGAGATCGTGGTTCGCTGGAGATAAACCGACGACAACGTAAAATGGTAAGCTGCGTGTTCGAAGATCTTTATGGCCCGGAGAAAATTTTTCGGTCAAATTGATGTATCGGAGATCGTCGGCATCAAAAGTCTAAGTCGAAAGAAGTGATTTTGTAGAAAATACTTATCGCCCTGCGTTTAAACTAATCATATTATTTGGATAAAATACAAAATAAAAAAAGTCCACGAATTAGAACATGACATATGGATTACATAAAAGTATCAACGAATAAAAAGATGACATATGTAATTGAAAATTATAGATGACTAATTGACTGACATGTGTCTTGTAAAAAAAAATTCTCTTAACATATCCTACTATATTAGAAACAAAAACCTCCCTTTCAAACAACTCATATGATTGCCACGTGGCATGTAGAAAATACTAAATTGCCCTTTTATCTAACCATAACTAAATTACTAAATCTCTCGTTGCACTTTACGTGACACGCTTTTTTTTTTTAATTTTTTCTTTATGTTTCATTCAACTAGAGTGGTTTTTTAAATTGAATTGATCAATTAGGTTTTTTGTTACAAAGTGTCAATTTTGTTTTAAGCGTATACCCTTCGGATGAAGCTTATTACAAAGCTATTAAAAATCTCCAAAACTAAGTATTGATTTGGCACGACCAATGGAGAACATCAATAAATCATCTTACTAATATTTAAATTTATTAGGATACTTTTATATTTTATCTAACATTTACTTCAACACATATATTCGATTAAACTATTTATATTTAATAAGTAACACTTATAAAACATTTCTAAAACATACATGGCGAAATATAATTTTTTTTTTTTTGCGAAATACAAATATTTCTATGATCACACTTATAAAACATTTCTAAAATATATCGCTCCAAATATAAAATTTTATTTTTTTCAAATATAAATATTTCTAAGATCTACAGATAGACTGGGCCAGGGTCGCGCATTGTGCGACCAGACATCACTAGTACTAATTATATATAGTAAGATTTGCAGTGTGAAATTATTATAAATTAACAAAATTTTTATTCTTTCTGTCATAAAAAAAAAAATTTACTTTGAGTTTTTGAAATTAGTGCTACTTTTGGTACAAATTTAAAAATTGAATGTGTACTATTTTTTTTTGCGAATTTATCAATTTCAAGAACGTGTAATTTGTAATATTGAAGACGGACAAGCTTTGCCACTATCTTGGTAGTCAAATTGTTTTTAACTTATCGGTTCACCTTGCAGCAAAGACCATGGTCTACTGTATCATAATTGGTAGTCAAATTGTCAAAATGCCGTCTAAATAAATCAAGGAAAAATTTGGATAAGGGGTAATGGAGACTAAATAATTAATAAAGAAGGAATACTTTTCAATAATTTATATTAGGGGCATAACCATTGAACCATACAAATATGACTTTAAACTATTTTTAAAAAAAACCTATTCACATCAATTAAAGAATTTGAAAGTTCATTTATTTTTTTTTTCGGAAATCTTGATTAATATAAATATACTAAAGTAGTCGCTGACAAAAAAAAATAAAGATTCAAAATTTCTTATATTAGTAAATTTAAAATTTTCATTTATACAAAAGATGGGAGTAATTTAATTACTCTAGTAAAATGTGTTGTACGATTGGTGTAAGTACAAGGCTTTTGGAAAAAAAAAAAACAATTCGACACAAAAATTTACTGTGAAAATAAAGGTTGTAATTCTTAAGTTTTGAAGTCAACATAATTATATTTTTTTATCATTTCACATATTAATTTTTTTCCAATTTGATACTAAAATATTATCGTCATGAAAAGATATTAATAATTTATGTGTTGAAAAGTCAAATAAAAAAATAAAAAATTTTATTTCAAGAGTTAAAATTATGGAAAATTTAGATGAAGGGCACTGGAGAAAAAATAATTAATAAAGAGGGCAGTACTTTTGAATAATTTGTTTTAAGGGCATAACAAGTCAATCATACAAACATGACTTTAACTATCAAAAAATTCTAATTACATTTATTTAAATATTGTGAAAGTGTATCCTATTTATTTTTTACGTGTATATGACTAAAATAACAATATTAAAGTGGTTAAAATAATTACATATATGTATATTTCATCAACTAAATAAACTTGAAGGCATAAACTTTTTTATATTATTAAATTTTAATTTTCAATCTCATAAAATACAAAATATGTGATTAAACTCTTGTTATTAATTTTTGTTTTTATTTTTTTTACTTTTCTAAGTATGAGGCTTTGATAAAAATAAAAAAATAAAAAAAAGACGATTTCAAGTCTTAGTTCACCTGAAAGTGGGTTTTTTTTTTTAAAAAAAAAGTAAATCTCCTTTTAGAAATTATGAAATATCAAACCTTATTTTTGAGTTAACAGTAATATATATTTTAATCATGTAAGTTTTCAGTTTTTCTATACTAGTAATATTTAAATATTAAAGTATTATTTATATTACTTAGAAAATAAACCTTAATTGATGTACGTTGAAAAAGGAAATAAAATAAAATCTATATTAAATGCTAAGTCATGTTTGTGTAGTTGAATGATTATACCTTTAATACAAATTATTCAAAAGTATTACCCTCTTTATTAATTAGTTACTCTCCATTGCCCTTTATCCAAATTTTCCCTTAAAGTTATGTTTGTGTTGTTGAATTATTGTACCCTTAATACAAATTATTCAATAACATCACCCTCTTTATTAATTATTTACTCTCTACTGCTCCTAATCCAAATTTTTCCATAAATCAAATCAACTTGCAATTTCTACAAATTACTTTGAAAATATTGCTCTATGAATTTGATCTTGGTTATAATGGCCTTTTAATTCATGCAATTCTTTTTTGGACAAATAATCCGAGAAAGTATTATTAAAAGCACTCTTTTTCTTATTACAAATATCAAACACACTAAAAAGTTAACTATCACAAAAAAATCTAAAATGAATCTATAGTACTTTTTATAGTGGATACAAATTTCTCTTGAAGTTATTTTGTTTTTTGTATTGTGAGGTTGTTTGGCCAGTTTTTTGCTATTCGGGCAGACGAGAGATGTGAGTCTAGGCCCAGGAGTTTTGGTGGATTTATATAATTATGGTTAAGGTTTGAAGGCCCTAAAATAGCCCAAATGTGGCCAAAATATGTTTGAGATCAATATGGGATGGTTGATTGTAAACAGTTTCAGAATTGGAGAAGGAAAGTAGAAGCCAAGTGGGAATAGAATTATTCCAAAATTGGCTGCATAATTAATTGATAATTAAGGAAGATTTCTCCTTATTTCTTGCTCCTTTTAATAAGGAAAATTACCAGTAATTAAAGAGATATATTTGGGAAAGGATTCCATTACCAAATTAAGAGTTGATTATGAGAAGAGTCATCAACCGATTGGGAGACTGCTGCGGGAATAGTACTATATTTTCAAGGAAATTGACCATGTTAAGCTATCTTTTCTCCAAGGAATCATAGGACAGCAAGGGTTTCGTCCAAGCACTATAAATAGAGGCAGCCATGAAGTAAAAATCATCACCGATCAACCATACAACTGGTTTTCCTTGTCCTTTATTATTTCTTTTACCGTTTATCGTGTTTTTACTTTCCTTATGGTAGTTCATTACGTTCTATCATACGTACTTAGCCCCTTGTTTAGCAATAGAGTTTGCCTTTTTCTCCTACATAGAATTAGGTAGGTGTTCACAACAAATTCGGTTATGCTGTAATAGGTGTTCTAACACTTATGTCGGACTATCCTCTGCATATCCGTCCTATCTTTGTCTTCTATGTAATAACGTGTCATCGGCACCATCTATAGCTTGCCGGCGCTAGGATTTTCTACTTTATGAGTCAAACGCCGTCTCTTCGGCTTTTCTCCACTTTCTCTAAGTCTGTACCTGTCTTTCTCAAACTAAAACCAATAACCCTACATCCTCGATCCTGGTCCGATGCCGGTTCGAACTCAACCACAATCATCTGATTTAATTGTGTTTTGGGTGAGTCTTGTTCTCCTTTTTCTCACGGTTTCCGGTATATAATTTTCACACAAATGTAATTTGGCACACCTGGTAGGACTAGCTTTAGTTTGATTTGTAATTCGTGGAAGTCTCTCACCGTACCACGAAGTTTTCTGTGTCATAAAAAATCCAAGAAAGAGTCTTTTCCTTTTTCCTTGTCATGGCGTATCTAAACACCCAAAATTATACCTTTTACACTTTTGGAGGTCCAGTTTACACCCTTATTTTACATAGGCAGTCGCCTGAAAATTCAATCCTTACATATACATCCCCAAACATCCAATATTGCTCATCACCACTTGGTGGGAAAATGTCTCAACAACCTTTATCCATACAACCCCACATGTAATATAGCACATCACTACTTGGTGGGCAAATTTTCCAACAGCTTACATTGGCACAACCTTACTCTAGGGTTATGTATGTCGCCGATCAACAATCGGAGCAGCATATTGAGTGCCATGGTTACAGTTGGTGTTAAAATAGCGTTGATCAGAAAGATACAAATCTAGTTAGGGCGTCGATTATGAATGCTTATGTCGATTACAACTCCCAATCAACCGATTACAGAGATGTATGCTATTTTATCCAATCAGATGATCAATATGACGTAGATCGGCAATCCGGCAGCACCAATAAACGAGATCAAAGGCCGACAATGCAAAAACCTTCAAGTCTCGGGGGGCAAGCCATTTTTAGCAATCAACTGCATCAATTCAGTTTGTTATGATTGGTTTGATGGTGGTCAGAGCAATGAACAAGTTCTATTCGAAGATGGTGGGCAACAATCTACAGCTTCTGATCATGAGTCCTAATAGTTTCAGCAGCCGACAGTGACCTTTCAACAACTGTTGTTGCAGCCACAGCAGAGTCAGCTATCACCGATACATATCCATCAGTCCTAAACACGGCCAGGGAGGTTTCAGTAGGCCGATCAGTTGAGGACACAATCCATGGAGTTGTAATCGACGCAGTCCCAACAATCCCCGATAGAGTCTTTACAGATTCATCTATTACTGATGTATATCCAACAGTCCAAAACATGTCCAGGGAGGTTTCTGTAGGCTGATCGATGGATGACACAATTTATGGAGTTGCAATCGATGCAGTCCCAGCTGTCGCTGATGGAGTCTTTACGGATTCAGCTATCATCGACACCAGTCCAATAGGTTCACTTACAATCGATTCAGTATCAGAATAATGATTCAGCAGCAGAGCAGATCCAACAGACGCAGTTACAACATCAGCGAACAACATCTGCATCGGTACGTATCCAACAGTCATATTCGTTGCCGATGGAGTATCAGGATATTCAGTTGCCATCCGGATTGATCCGACGGGTTTGGTCATAACAGAAGCAACCCCAGCAGACTGATCAGTCGATTATGCCAGTACAGTCCCAGCGGCTAACACAGTTTCTAAAATCAGTTCTGCTCAAATCATCGGCAGAGATCCATCCATTTTATTCATTACCGACGGAGTCTGAATCGGTTCATGAGATTTTATAGTCAGTCTAGTCTAAAACACAGTTGCAACTTCAGCAATGGATAGAGTCCACAGAGGTTCACTTGTCATTAACGCTGACTCAATCATCACCTACACGGTCTTCGTCTATAGAACAGTCACAATCATCATCAACGGAGTCTCGACCGATCGATCAGATAGCAACGCAGTTGAATGAGATGCCATTACAGCCATTGTTGCAGATACAACAACCATTGGTGTGACTTCAGCAGATTCAACCATTCCTAGTGCAATCTGAGCAAGCCGATCCATCTGTAGCACCGATCCAACAACCACTGGTGCAATCTCAACAACAGCAGCAATTGGTGACACAAATCCAGCAAATGCAACAACTATCATTGGTAGAGTCTGAATGGATGTGGCAATCACGGGTGTCACTCGAAGAGTTGCAATTGTCATCAAGAGTGTCTCGGCAAGTTGAGCAATCAATGGTAAAGTTACAGCAGCCGTCAGAGTGTCAGCAAGTGCAACAATCGGCAGTGGGAAAGCAGTCATCCTTAGTACATTATCAGCCAATCCCACGATTGTTGGATCAACAGTTCAACAAGAAACGACACCATTGCAAAGATTGGTGGAGTTGCCTTTGCCGAATCTCCAGGGTTCTAATTTACTATTGACGGCACAAAACCAGGTATTGGTGCCGATAGAGCAATTACAGAAGCTACAAGAGCCATCGTCGGATCATGAAGTTCATTTTATATTGGGGTTAATAGAAAGCCAATTGCCGATGGAGCAAATACAGGCTAAGGAGTTGCATTCGTCATCAGAACTAGTTCAACATGGTCAACAACAAGTGATGCAATCCCATCAGTTTCAGCAATAGTCAGCGACGTTTCATGAGTGGGTAATGCCGTTTGATCAGAAGACGGTACCACTTTATGAGTTCCAAGGGCAGATGTTACAATTTCAAAGACAGATGGTGCGAAACAACGAGTTTGATCAGCAAGTGGTGCCAAGTAGATCTTTTCAGAGTTTGTCTCAGTCGGAACAAGGTCAGTTGCAAGAATCACTTTTGCCGATTTATGTGCTAATACCATTAATGAAGATCTAGTCACGAGTGCTGCTGGAGCAGAATCGGTGTTCGACATTCTCAATGCGTGATCAGTTGTTTTAGTATATACATTTGTATCACCAACAATACACAGATTCTAGATAGATCCACCTGGCTGATGATTCCGCAATTGCGTAGTATGTTCGAGACAAATGGTTGGTTGACAGAAAACAGATCTGTGTAGGTACAAGTTATTGTGATGCCAGTCAGAGCAGCGATGGGTTCCAAAGAATTCATGAACGGGATCAGCAATCCAGAATGTTGTTATTGACTGATAAAGGGCCGAATAATTCAGATAGTTGTTATTCTCAAGAAATTTCTTTGATGCCCGGGGAGGGCAAGTTGCTAGTGATAAATCTCGCTTATTGGATAGTTATGACTTGCAGTTTAAGCCAACCGTCGGACGATCAACAGTTTATAATGATACACATCAACTTGGAGTTGTTTGTTCCACAAATCCTTACAGACTCAGTCCAGAAAGTATGGGTACTTGGCAATATCATGTTGATTCAAGTTTGTAGTTTGGTTCTGTGATTGTTAGTAGAGGTGATAGAGGCCAGCTTACGAGATACCCATCATCCATGTTTAATAGAAGTGGGTTGGCCGAGATTGATGATAACCAAAATCAGTTTCATACATCCATGGTGAACATAGAAGAAATGTTTGATGGTTTGAATAAGACATAGAGACTTGTATGAGAAAATTTTATAGTATGGGGCAACACGTGTCCCAAGTTCCAACGGTAGAGATAGCGAATGAATCTTTATGTTTTGGTGATTCCATAAATGTTAATGGTTTTCAAGAGTGTGTTGATCTACAGACAGCAGAATTATGGGTCATCAAGGTCAAGGCCATTCGGGGATACTCAAGATCCATGTAGTTGAAACAAGTGAAATGAAGCTGTCATCAATTAAAGATGGTTTGAAAGATGTGGATACGAGTTCTAATGATCATGGTCATATTTGGCATTCTAACCCTTCCCATCAGGTTTTGGGTTCTTCACCATTGGATCACGAAAAACAATGTTGCTTGAATTCAGCCGTGGTTGATTTTGCTGCTATGAGTAAGATGAAGCTGTCATCAATTGAAGGTAGCTCAAGGAACGTGTTTCAAGATCAAAAGAACGAGTCTCTTGATGATAGTCGTATTTTATAGTCTGGTTTTATAGCCGACATAGCTTCAGATTTTTCAAATCTCAGTTACCAAGAACAAGACCGATTGATAATGTTTGATAGTAATGAGACTAGAGTCACTTTGACGACAGCTGATGAAATGTTAAAGGGTTTAATCTGTAATGGTCGGCAGCATGGGGCAGCCGATGTATCAGCTTTTGTCCCTTCACAGTTTCGTCAACAAGATAAAAGCAGATTGACGACACTCGATGTTAATCAAGCTGAAATAAGCACGACTACATCATTGGTGGCTGTTGAGGTATCCACAAAATTGATTTGCAATGATGGTGGTCAAACTCGGCCGCTTCATTCGTTGGTCAATTATGTTTCTCATGAGCAACTGGATCAAGACCATTTGCAAGACGCAAGAGGAGAAACGGGCTAATATGGGCGAGATCAAGTTGCCGGAAGTAGAGTGTCTTAAAAAAGGTGGTTGGTGGTAATAAAAGTCAAGTTCGACATACTGATTCTCGTGGTGATCGAGTTAAGCAAACGGTTGTTTCTTCGCAAGTCAAAAGAAGCTCCAATCACGCATGGATTTACTACAAGAGAGGCTTAATGAGGTCAAACAACAAAAGGCGTACAGGTAAGTCCATGCAACATTCTTTTTATCAAGCCGATAAAGCCAAGTCTACAAACTCTTTATCTGGGGACGATTCTCTTTTTGTTGATGTTGAATCTGATGAGAATCAAGAAGAGAAATACATTGCTTGGCTGGATTATGGTGCTGCTGTAGAATGGAAGTTTGAGTTGACCGCTGATCGGAGGATCCTAAAATCATTAGTTGTTCAAGAAAAAAGGCGTTGCACTCGAGCTTATGCTCAACTTTTTGGATCAACACCAAAGAGGATAAGAGCATTTTATGTTGAAAAGATAGTGGCCAAAAAGGATGATGATATGAAGCCGAAGGTTGATAAGAATAGCGAAGGCAATGAAGATAATCGGTTTAAAAATGATGAAGCAGAGATAAAAGTCGTTAAGCCAATTGAAGAGCAACAGATTCAGTTACAATTAAAAGATGATAACAATCAGTTGGTTCATGCGGCATTAAGTGAAACCAACGTGGAATCGGCAATCAACAAAGAAGAGAGCCGTAAACATATCGATTTTGATACAGTTTGAGGTTCTGCCATCTCCAACCCCATTTTCATGCGATTCGGCAGTCAATCTGAGGTAAGATGCGACCAGCTTATTAGTTTTCAATTGATTTTTCACAGTCAAGACAAGAAAGGAAGTAAGAACAATGATTTGGGTACACTCAGTAGTGCTACCATGGAAAATCCAGGTCTTAAACGATTTGGCAGCTAGCTTCAGGTTCCGGATAGCAAGATGGTTACTTCTGCAATGAATTCTCAAGGTCAGTCCTTGTCAACAGTCACAAAGGAGGTCAAGAGCAAATATGTCATTTCTGGGTCTAAAGTCCAGAATGTTGAGAAACGAAAAGTCAATAGTACTTCTTGTTCTCCTATTTCAAATGGTCGGTTCAATCCAAAATTTGGCCTCAGTATTAACATGTCTCAAGAACAGAAGAATCGTAGAAGCTATCCGCGAAGGCAAATATCACAAGAGTCCAAGTCCAGTTCCAAAACCGATAGTGGCTTTAAGGGGAAGTCTCAGCCGTCGCAAAAAAGTAGGCGCGCACCATTCTTTAATCCATATTATTCACATTATGCGTGGGTACCATATTACGTTATGTATCGGTGGGATGTTGTTACATGGATCTAAGTGCAACATGGAATGTGTATGGCTGGTGGTAGAGATGTGCTTATCAACGTTCGTATCAAAGTCATATTTAATATAAACGTTCAGGGGGTATTATGTTTGGCCAATTTTTTGCTATTCGGGTTGACGAGAGATGTGAGCCTTGGGCTGAGGTTTTAAGGCCCTAAAATAACTCAAAGTGGCCAAAATACGTTTGGGATCAATATGGGCTGGTTGAGTGTGAACAGTTCCAGAATTGGAGAAGGAAAATAGAAGCCAAGTGGGAATAGAATTGTTCCATAATCAGCTGCGTGATTAATTGACAATTAAGGAAGATTCTTCCTTATTTCTTGCTCCTTTTAATAAGGAAAATTACCAGTAATTAAAGAGATATATTTGGGAAAGGATTCCATTACAAAATTAAGAGCTGATTGTGAGAAGATTCATCAACCGATTGGGAGACTGCTGCGGAAATAGTACCCTATTTTCAAGAAAATTGACCATATTAAGCTACCTTTTCTCCAAGGAATCATAGGGCAGCAAGGGATTCGTCCAAGCACTATAAATAGAGACAGTCATGAAGAGAAAATCATCACCGATCAACCATACAATTGGTTTTCCTTGTCCTTTATTATTTCTTTTACCGTTTATCGTGTTGTTACCGTCCTTATGGCAGTTTATCACGTTCTATTATGCTTGCTTAGCCCCTAGTTTAGTAATAAGGCTATTTGTCTTTTTCTCCTACATAAAATTAGATAGGTATTCACCGTTTTCTACTCCAACGAATTCAGTTATGCTGTAATAGGTGTTCTAACAATTATGTATGTCGGACTACCCTCTGCATGTCCGTCCTATCTTTGCCTTCTATGTAATAGCGTATCATCGGCACCATCTATAGCTTGCCAACGTTGGAATTTTCCACTTTATGAGTCAAACGCCGTCACTTCGAATTTTTCCCACTTTCTCTAAGTCTGTACCTGTCTTTCTCAAACTAGTTTAATGTTAAAATAAAAATTTCCACAGATATATATTTTTTAAAAAAATGTTAATATACATTGAAGTAAATTGCACAAAGCAATATTAAGAACACATAATAAAATGATAAAAGAGTGTTAAAAATATGCTCCTCCTTCTTAAAAAGAGAAAACCAACTGTTAACTAAAATTTATTAAGAACATATTTAACCTGAGGTGTCATCATCTCTGTAATTTGAAAACTAAAATTTTACCTCAAATTCACCACAATCACATTTTCAGTCATTTCTACTTAAAACCAAATTGGATCAGAGAAGCAAAAGCAAAATTCAGAATCCATTTGAACCATCCATGGATTCCAATGAAGATCCATCAAATCCCTCTCATATCTTGCGAAAAAGGAACAAAATTAATGGCCACGAGGAGGTAGAATTTCCTTCCTCGGCTCCAATTCAAGTGGCTGATCCGTCCGCAGCCCATAATCTTCCACATGAACTCATCTTTGAAATCCTTTCAAGACTACCCGCCAAATCTTTGGGAAGATTCTAAAAGAGGTACAGAGATGATCAAAATAGAAGTGGTCGGACATAGATCTAGACGAAGGAAAGTGAACGCCATATTTCTGTGAAAAGAGCTTTCCAATTTTCTTAGTTAATCAAAAGAGACGGAGGTTCTGTACATATATATGCACAAATGTCCTATTACTGTACAAATGTAAAAAGACAGAAAAGTCCTAACTAAGCTTATGCACAAACAAATTACAACAGAACTCATATTTCCTTTTACATGCCCCCCTTAAGATGGAGCTTTAGGTGAAGAACATAAACCCATCTTGAGCAAAAGAGTAGAAAATAAGGGATAAGAAAGTGACTTGGTAAGTACATCCGCCAGTTGAAGTTTGGAGGGTACATGGGTAGGATTGAGGAAGCCAGCTTTGTAGTACTCCCGAACTACATGACAATCAATCTCTATATGCTTTGTTCTTTCATGAAATACCGGATTGGCCACAATGTGAAGAGCAGCTTGATTATCACAGTAAAATGGAATGGGTAAAGAAGGAGAAATTCCAAAATCAGCTAAAAGATAAGAGATCCACCGTAATTCATAAGCTGCAGTCGCCATAGCCCTGTATTCAGCTTCAGCTGAAGATCAGGATACGGTGGTTTGTTTCTTTGTCTTCCAAGACACCAAAGAAGATCCAAGGAACATGCAATACCCTGTAAGAGATCGTCTAGTGGGCTTACAAGCTCCATAATCTGAGTCACAGTATCCAGTAAGGTCCAAAGAGCTACAACTAGGGTAGAAAATTCCTTTATTAACCCAACCAGCTAAGTATTTCAAGACATGTAAGGCAGAATTCCAATGAGAATCATGAGGCGCATGCATGAATTGACTAAGTTGTTGGACAGCATGACTTATATCAGGCCTAGTGAAACCGAGGTATAATAATCTCCCAATTAACCTTCGAAACTTCTCAGGTTCTGAGTATAAAGGAGTCTTATCTTGATGAGGGAATTGAAAACCAGGTGGCAATGGTGTGGGTTTAGGAGTACAGTCCAACAAGTGAGCATCTTGAAGTAAGTCAGTAATATATTTTGACTGACTTAAATAGATGCCAGAAGAAGATCTGGCTATCTCCATGCCCAGAAAATAACGAGCATATCCCAGATCTTTAATGGTAAACAACTTGTGCAAAAATTCTTTAACATCAAGAATAGAAGCTTCACATGAACCAGTGATTAACAGGTCATCAACATATACCAACAGTATCAAAAAACAACCAGGTTTCTTCAAAGTAAATAAACAGTAGTCATGGCAAGATTGCTTAAATCCAAAATTAATCAACTGAGAAGTAAGCTCACTATTCCATTGTCTAGACGCCTGTTTCAGACCATAAAGTGATCTCTTCAAGCGACAGACTTGCTTAGAAGAGGTAGAAAGATAACCTGGTGGAGGCAGCATATAAACCTCTTCATCGAGGTAGCCATGAAGAAAGGCATTGTTAATGTCAAGCTGATGCAGCGGCCAACTGCGGGATGCTGCAACTACCAATAGAATCCTGACAGTAACCATCTTAGCAACAGGGGAAAAACTCTCAAAATAGTCCTCCCCTTCCACTTGGCTATATTCCTTGGCAACTAGACGAGCCTTGTATCGTTCCACTGTACCATCTTGATTACATTTGATTTTATAGACCCATTTACATCCTATAGGTCTCTTACCAGGTGGAAGATCAACAACCTCCCAGGTTTGATTTTTTTCCAAGGCTTCCAATTCTAAATTCATGGCTTTTACCCATTTTGCATTGGTTCTTGCCTGATTATAAGAATAAGGCTCATGCAATGTTGATAAATTTGCCACAAAATCATTGTATGCGGGACTAAAACAAGTGAGTGCATGAAGATTGGAAGGTTCAAGAGATTCAGTAATGCTAACAGAAGCACGATGCAAAGAAGGAGTGTCAAAGTCTTTTAACCAAGGTGGTCGACTTTTAACACGAGTACTAGTCCTAATCATAGGGGGGGTTATAGGCTGTGGTCAAGGATGAGGTTCAAACGATGACACAAGAGTTTCAGAATTTTCTGAAACAATTTTATCATGATGATCAGACCCACTATGTTGGTCTGAAAATTTGCTGACAGGAGAAGCTGGGGCTGGTGGTAAAGGATCATCAATATCATCTGGGAATTATTGGAAGATAGGAATTGGAGAGGATTGGGTGTGACTTATAGGGTTTTGTGGTTCAGTCAAAGGGAACTGATCTTCATAAAATGTAACATCTCGAGATACAAAAATTTTTCTTTCATCTAAGCTATATAGTTTGTAACCCTTTTGTCCCGGCGAATAACCTAGGAAAATGGCTTTAATGGCTCTAGAAGAAAATTTGTCTTTGTGAGGGAGAACATTAGTAGCAAACGCCAAGCAACCAAAGACTTTAAGGGATGATAGATCTAGTTTTCTTTGAATGGAAAATCTCATAAGGAGATTTCCATTTCAGAAGGGAAGAAGGAAGCCTGTTGATAATATGTGTTGCTTGCAAAATGGATTCACCCCAAAATTTCCGTGGCAACTTAGAATGAAACATAAGTGCCCTTGCAATTTGAAGAAGATGCCTATGTTTTCGTTCCACCACACCATTTTGTTGTGGTGTATAGGGACATGATTTTTGGTGCAAGATGCCTAATTTAGAAAACAGTGTTTGACAGGAGTGACTAACGAATTCAGATCCATTGTCTGTCCTGACAATCTTGACAATATCATGGAATTGTGTTTTCACCATAGAAAAAATTTTTTCAAGGGTTACAGGGATTTGTGTTTTTGATTTAAGTAAGAAAACCCAAGTACACCTACTGAAATCATCTACCACTGTTAGAAAAAAATGTGCACCAGTCAGAGAAGGTCTATGATATGGACCCCACACATCCAAGTGAAGAAGATCAAAACAATGTTTAGATTGTATTCGGCTAACAGGGAAAGGAATTCTATGCTGTTTTGCATAATGACAAACATCACAAGCCAAGTGATCAAAAGAATCCAAGCCATTTGTATTAATATTATCAGTATGCAACATTACAGATGGAGAAGTATGACCAAGTCTATGATGCCATACCTTGGAGTCATTCTCATTTACAATCGAATTCAGAAAAGTTGCAGCAGAAGCAAAAGATGGCTTTGGTGACAATCCACGAAGTGTAGTAGCTTCATGAATTTTACAAACAAAAGGTTTGAAACTCTCTAAGGTTTCAGGTTCAAAAGACTTTAGTGATAGGAGGTAAAGTTCTTTTACTATTCTGCCAACTGCAAGGACCTGCTTAGTCTATAGGTCCTGTAGGAGACCAGATTCAGCGAAAAATGAGAAATATAGAGTGGTGGTTTTGGCTAATTTCCGGACTGATAACAGGTTGTATTTAAAACCAGGAACATGAAGGCATGATTGTAAAGTAACACTATCAGAGAGTTTCACATCACCAATATGTGTAACAGTCTTAATGCTACCATCAGGAAGGTAAGGCATGTATGAACTAACACATCTAGGATGAAACAGCAATGACAGAGATGCAATCATATGAGCAGTGGCACCTGTATCAACAAACCATGAGTCTTTACTTATAAATTCAGAATACAAAGAACTCAACTTTTGAATGGTAGTATTACCTGCAAAGTCATGAATGTGAGCAAAATTCACTCCGTTTACAGCAAGACCTTCATCTGGTTCCTCCATTTTTCCTTTCGCCATTTTACTGAGCTCCTTTTGCACCATAGACGCCAGTAGATTCTCCCATTCCTGTCCCTTTCCTCTCTCCATATCTAGTGGACTATCAGCTAGATTAGCAAAAGTTCTTGGAGGAACAATGGATTTTTCACCCCTCCACCAATCTGGATATCCATTGAGTTTAAAGCAGTCCCCTCTTTCATGCCCTTCTCTGTGACAATAATCACATTTAAGATCAGCCTTTTTCTTCTTGTTATTTCCTTTAGCATATGATTCCTTCTTACCACCAGAGGCTGCATTTCTAGCATTGAATCGACTGGAAAACATCTTCACAATCATAGCCATATTGTCATTCAGATTATTGCTAACATGGCTGCTAACTTGTCTCTGCTTTTCTGCTTTACTGAAAATGGAGAAGATCTTATTCACTGTTGGTAAAGAATCTTGCATAAGTACTTGATCCTTCAAAGCCTCATAACCTTCAGTCAATCCCATCATGAACTGAAGAACTTTGTCCTCGTGACTCATTTCCTGAATCTGTCGAGATACTCCACATGTGCACTTTCCACAAACACATTGTGGCACTGGCCTAAAGTGATCCTTCTCATCCCACAATTTCTTTAATTTATCAAAATATTGCAGAATTGGTAAATTTCCTTGTTTCTCAGAACATATTTCCCTTTGAAGTTCATATAAACGAAGAGAATTCGCAGAGCCATACCTTTCAGCAAGTTCATCCCAGAGCTCCTTGGCATTTGTAGTAGAGTAGAAGCTATCAATGAGTTCCCCAGAGACTGAACTCATAATTCATCCAAGCACCATACGATCTCCACGCAACCATTTCTCGAAATCTGGAGAGCTAGGTGCCGGCATCACGATACTTCCATCGACATACCCATACTTCGATTTGGCTTCAAGACTGATGCGCATAGCCTTACTCCAAGACAAATAATTCCCGGGAACGAGTAGCTTAGAAACAATGCTCACACCTGGGTTATCTGAGCCATGAACATCCATCCTATCATCTTGATTCCTTGAAGTATGCACAGCCAAATCACCATATCTGTTAGATCCAGACGCATCGTGGTCTGTATTGGACATTTTTAGGGCTCAAAGAGATTAGGCGAGGAACTGAAGGGAAAGATGGAGATTGAGCTATCAGATCAAGCAAAAAAGAAAGGATTGGTAAATTGGTGATATGAATTTAGTTTTCCCTGCTCTGATACCATAAAAGAGGTACAGAGATGATCAAAATAGAAGTGGTCGGACATAGATCTAGACGAAGGAAAGTGAACCATATTTCTGTGAAAAGAGCTTTCCAATTTTCTTAATTAATCAAAAGAGACAGAGGTTCTGTACATATATATGCACAAATGTCCTATTACTGTACAAATGTAAAAAGACAGAAAAGTCCTAACTAAGCTTATGCACAAACAAATTACAGCAGAACTCATATTTCCTTTTACAGATTCAAATGTGTTTCAAGATCATGGCTTTCGTTAATCTCGAGCCGAGGATTCATCAAAACCCATCTCGCAATATCATCGGGAAGGAGAGATTTTGGCCACCACAGTATTATCTTTGAATTACTTTATCCAGATCGGCGTGGATACCAATTGAAGCAATGTTCTGTTAGTTCTTTACTGTATGCAGCCACAGCTGTACTTTCTGACATTGATTATCCGCTGAAAAGTTCAGATAAGTCGGTTAGTGTTGTGGGTTCTTGCTTCGGTTTGGTTTGCATCTCTTTTGACACGGGAAAAGATTTGTTCTTGTGGAACCCTTGTACTAAAAGATCTAAGAATTTGCATGATAGTTATATGGAAAGGAAAAAATGCCGTTTTGATTTGTTAGGGTTTGGTTATGATGAAGTGAATTATGATTACAAGGCTGTCAGGATACGTGTTAAGTTAGGCGCGCCTTTCTTCGGAGGTGGACGTCTCCCATATGTAACTGAAGTTAGAGTGTATAGTCTAAAGAATGATTCATGGAGTCGGATTCGACTTTGTGAAGATGTTGTTCCTTCTTGGGGTTCAGGCTACTTTGCAGGTGGAAATCTTCATTGGGTTGTAGCCACAAGTGGTGCTGATAGCTGGAAATTTCTTAGCTTCGATTTGGCTAGTGAGACATATGGCGAAATTGAGTGGCCACGTTCCAAAGATCATCTGGATGATTGGTCAGCTGGGGTTTTAGGAGGCTGTCTATGTGTGCTTTATGATTATGAGAAAATTGATGTGGATGTTTGGGTAATGAAGGAATATGGAGTAAAAGACTCATAAACTAAAATCGTTTCCATTCCTTATACAGATTTTCCTGAATTTGATTTCTCTTCGCCTGTTTGCTTGCTAAGCAATGGTGATATACTTTTGATAATTCATGCGGTGCTGGTACTTTATAGTCCAAAGAGTAATACATTCAGATGGTATCCTCACATAAGCAAAGTTCAAGATGTGAGCATATTCGTTGAGAGTTTGGTTTCACCTGATTTCAAGGATGAAGAAAGAGGAACACACCCGTTAAGTGGCTAAAGAAAGTAAGCAGTGTAAATGATTCTCTCTCGTTTTTTGCATTTTCCTTGTAGTAGTATTTATGTTCCACCAAGACATTATTTTGAGTAATTGTCATTATTTTTTTATATTTACTTTAGTTTTATTTTTTGTGTTGTATTTACTGATTTAATAGTATTTTTAATTTAATTGAATTTATTATGTATAATTAACTAATTTTCCAAAAATTAATGAAAGTACTTGATTTAGGGCTCGTATGGACAACTTTTAGTTTTTTTTAAGATTTGGAATGTAATTTAAATTTGTTTTGAATGAAAATTTAAAAACATACAGCGAAACCTTCCTAAATTAATCCTCTATAAATTAATAATTTTTATAAAGTAATATTTTTCGCCGGTCTCAACTCGGGACCAGTACAAAAAATTAAAATACTCGATTACTATTTACAGTGGGCCCAAAGTTAAAAGTGCAACATAATTACTATTTACTGTGTACTTAAAGTAAATAGTAAATAAAAATAATAATTTTGAAAATAATGATAAATTTTAAAATTGTACAATAATATTTTTAATTAATAAATAATATTTTAACAATTAAATAATGAAATTTTAATTTTAAAATATTTTTAATGATTTAAATTTTAATAAAAATTTAAATAAATTAAAAGATAAAAATACCCCTGATTCCGGCATGTCAACGGTCGGAAACAGTAAAATGAGACCAAAAAAGTGTGAAAACATAATGTTTGGGACTACGACATTGAAATGTTAATGTAAGGGACGTAAATTCAAGTAGGCCCAAATATAAGGGACCATTTGGACAGTTTAGTCATCTAAGAAATAATAAATATAATACATTTTACATTAGGTGCTTTCCCTTATGTTACACATTTTACATATGAATATACGATACACATATCTTCAACGTAGTTTTCTCTCTTAAACCATGCACGTACTAACTTAAGTATCGGAGTGCTAACTTCTTCTTTTTTTTTTTGTTGGTTCTATGTATTATTCTCTCTTAAATCATCAGCTATATGAGCTTTAAATATTCTTGTGAATTTCGACTTCAACACTAACTTTTTAAATTTCTTTTAGCATAGTTTTTTTTTTTAAAAAAAATGACATAGACCATCCATTTATTCATATAATGTTTGTAATGATTGTTTGTTGATTTGGGTAAGTCTTAAGTATTGCATATATATTATTATATACAGTAGAACATCAGTAAATTAATAATTTTTAACAATTAATAATATTCTCCGGTCTCAACTTGGGACCAGTACAAATAGGGATAAAAATCGATAAAATGATAATATAATAATATTTCAGAAAATTTCCTATATATCTATAGGTCCCAACAATACCATAAATTAAATAAATGCCACAACAACAAAAAATAATAATAATTTCTATAATATATTCAGTAAAAAATGAACTATCAATACTTGTTTTTTAGTTCCTGGAGATGATATGAACTATGTATAGATTTTTAGTGTTCAAAATAATTTCAATGCTTCACTAATTCGGACGTAAAGACAACTGCAAATTAAGTAATTTATCCATTATTTAATAATTCGATAAATTAATAAATTTTACTTGTCCCAACCCTATTAATTTATAAAAGTTCTACTGTAGTTTAAGTTTATGATATACACGTCCTTTGTCCTTTTTTAAAAATATAAAACACTTCAGAGCTTGTTTGGACGTCCTTCCATTTTGCATTTTGTCTCATTTTATCTCTAAAACACAAAACTTAATGAAAAAAAAATTCCAAACAACGATCTGATTTACATTTTAAATTCTAACTCGAGACACTTTTTGTTAGTGTAAAAACCATTTTAAAACTAAAAATATTTCAGTGAGCAAATCTAACAATTCACAAGGTCTTGTTTGGCCAACTCTATATTTTGCATTTTGTCTCATTTTCGTCTACCACCACCGGACCACCTCCACCACCAGTGCCAACACCGGACCGCCGCCGGCCGGTGGTCCGACGGCGGCACCGGTGGTGAAGGTGGTGGTCTATTTTATTTAAATATTATTCAAACAAAATGTTGTCACAACAAGTCCTCGTAGTTCAGTGACCATTTTGACCATTTGTGGTTCAAAATATTTTTTTCAAAACCAACATCCAAACAACTTTTTGCTCAAAATACCATCCAAAAAATATTTTTATTTCTCATTTACTTTTCAACTTGAAACATTTTTCACTTTTAAGTGGCAAAATGAAATGTAAGCTGACGTCCAAACAAACGCTGAGTTTCTTACTCCACATTCCATATCACGTTTCCTAGAAAAAAATTTATTAAACAAAACAAATTTGATGGAAAAAATTATTGTAACCAAAATCGGCACAACTTGGAAATAAAACCAAAAGTTTAATAGAATCGAAACCAAACCGGAACTGTTCTCGAATTGTAACTGGAACCATGGTATAAAGGCCCGATTCCGATTCTTAATGTTATTAAACCGAAACTGACGGTTCTAGAACCAGAACCGACAGTTTCAGAACCATGAACATGCCTATTTGAAAGTAAAACAAGGAGAAGTCCAATTTTTTCCTTTCAAAAAATCTCCAATTTTTTCCTTTAAGACCCAAGAATGAACCGACTGACTCACTATCTAATTTAGGAATCACATATGATCCGGGGTTGCACATTTTGTCTACGTCTCCTGCACCAATATTACAAAAACTAGAAATAGATCATTCGAACTCAACTCTAGTTGTTTTGTAACAAATTTTCAGCTTTCCCAGTATATATATAAAAAAAAAATTTAAAAAAAAATCAAAGTAAAAGTTTTTCAAAAAATACTCTTCACCTATATGCCGAGTCAGACTCCCTCGTCATAAGGTTATTTGGCGCGAATAGGATCTCTCTCCCTTTCTATCACACACACTCAAAAATGGCACAAAATTTTCTCTGGCCATAGAATTAGCGCCCCCCACAAATCACAATCATCCACCCTTTCATCTACGACGAATGAACCTAAAAATGGTTCGCTGGGATTCGGTGGTTTCTATAGCCTCTTGTTTGATTCAAGGATCCCGTTTGCATCCTGTAAAAAAGAGGGGCTCTACTATTTGGTCAGAGGAAGTGAAGCGATGCCGCAGAAAAATAGAAACAAATGTGACCGCGCCGCCGAAGATTGGGGTGGTGGGCGGCGGCGGCGGTTGCGGAGACTGATCGGATTTTGGCAGAGCGTGGTACCCGAACCCGATTCACACTCCCCACCGGGTCGTTTTTGACTTTTTTTTTTTTTATTTGGTCAATCCTACTAACACATTCCCTCCAAAAATAACCGTTTGATATTGTTTTTCTTTGACAACAGGCCAGTTCTTTTCCTTCTTACCTTCAAGATTGAAGACTCTGGAGTGCTTCCTCATCCTATTCTTGCCCATTACTCATTCTATTCTGAGGCAATTGTCATTTAATATTTTCCTTTCTTTGGTTATCTTGGAAATCCTTTTCCCAGTGTAAGTCCTCTTGCCTGTGTTCTTATGGACTGGTTTAGTTTTTGTCCCATCAGCACTTAACACACCTTCTTATTTGACCCCGCATCGGATTTCTTGATAGTTTGTACGTGAGCTCCTGATTTCAAGGCCTTCAGACTCTGGGTTGGTCATCATTGCTCCTTCAGTCTCTTACTTGTTCATCATCAAGCTCTTTCTTTTCCCCTTTACTTCTTGATCATCAAGGTCTTTTCTTTTCTCCATCAGCAACCCATCCAGAAACAAACCGGTTTCAGGTAATGATTCCCTTCCTTCTGGGTCAGTCTCTATCCCCCTCAATTATCTTCTCTGTTACCCGAATGATCATTTTTTTTCCCGTTTATGTTTTATGGTTTGATGATTCTAGTCAAAGCAGAGTAAAAGAAAAGAAGGAACTGCCTGAGTGCCCCTTCAATTATTCTTCCTCGTCTACTTCACTGCAAGAATGTAAATTTCTTTCCCCCTTGCATCTGATAATCAAGATTCCTCCTTTGAAGAAATAGTCAATAAATTTACTCAAAAAAGTTTCCAGAAGAACTGAGATCTTTAATACCGGTGATCTTATTTCCACTGTTATTTCAAGATATAGTGGACTTACAAATATTTTGTTACTTATAAATCTTTTTTTATTTCCACTGTTTTCTACTGTTTTTTCATAATGACTATTCTGAAGTGGTTTTCGGGAATCTGAAAGAGGGGTGGTACTAATCAGCTAACGTAAACTGGTTCAAGTTTTTGAATTGAAATTGGTCCTCTTATTTTTGCAGTTTAAAAGAGCCTAGAGATTTTGCAGAGAAACATCAGATAATGGTACATTGCTCTTTTTTTCTTTTTTCTTTTTTTTAATTTCACACAAAAAGGTCCTTTTGTTTGTACTTATTGTTCCATATTCATTTGTAGGCTGAGGAGTATAAAACAAGAAGGTGCTATCCGAAATGCTCAAGCATACCACAAGAATGCAAGGTTCTCAGCTATACATTATTTGAGTGTTGTTTAAGTTTCTTTTTTAGATTATACAATATTTATTTTTTTGTTTGGTGCAGAATGTTCATCAGCCAAGCGAATTCCGCTTAGGGAAATGCCCCCGCGTATTGCTCAAATATAAAACGGAATGGTGTCGTTTCATTCGGGAGCGTAAGATGTGCCCATATGGGCCCAGATGTTGGGTAAGTAAACCTAGTTAACATTCTTATAATCTATAATCTCTTGCAACTTGTAACAAAAAATAAAGTGAAATTTTAACACTTCAGTTTGTTTTTTACTTCTCTTCAGTATGTTCATACTGCTGAGGAAAAAAGGTCTAATCTAGAGAAAAAGGAGGATGTCGTTTGCCCTGCATATGCTGCAATCGGAGAGTGCTACTTCACTGAGCAAAAGTTACCTTGCTTTTACAAGCATCCCTCTAGGATCAGGCAGGGGTAAATGAAGATGAGAGGTATGTCTCTTCTCACTGTAGGCTTGTTGCTGTCTTTTCTCAACAAGTGAACATTAGATTCGTAGTAATAGCATTGCTGCTTTAGTTCCGGCTGTTCTACTTCCAGTCATTTGTTTCTTTCTGTTGTGGTGATGCAGTCCTGCCTCACCTATCTAGTAACACATTGAGGAAAAAATTATCGAGTTCATTGTTGACAAGTTTTAGGAGTTTGGAGTTATCCTTTTTGCTGTTAACATGTATGCTGGAAAACACTACCAACTGAATGTCTCTGTTTTGGTTCATCAATGATTGGAAAAAGAATAGTTTCTGGAAACCAGTGCTTTTCATGGTATATAGGTAGAGTCTAAAATAATCATAGTCCAGTTTAAGTAACAGCCTTAAGGAGAGTCCATTACATCCTATCCAATTAGAGAACCCAGAGGGGAGGTGGAGTTTACTTGTGCTGCTGTGTACTGTGCATCACTTGTTGCATTTTAGTTCTACCAGTTAAGTAGTGTACTGGAGTCAATCAAGTTGTTCAATTTTAAGACATTTTTAGCACTCTTATCTAGTAACACATTTGCTATTAACAAGCGTGTGTGTGTGTGTGTGCGCGCGTGATTTGAAACAAAATGAGTAAGAAAATTGGATGTAACTGAATAGTAGTTAAGATAAGTGGCCCTCTTCAGAAGATTCATTGAGAGAAATTTTTTTCAAACGCTTATATATATGTATAGATAAATGACAAGTAAGAACTTTTAGCATCATGAAATTTTAGGTGTTTAAGAAGTTTTGGAGCTTTTGGTTGTCAAGTATGATTGTTATAAAAATAAGAGATGGAACGTGTTTGAGCTCTGCACCATATGTGACTGATGTTTCTTCTAATATCTTGTTTGATTACTGATTGAAATTGCAGAAGCTGTTTTCGTTTACATCGTTTAGTTTGGGGTATTGTGCCTTTGTGTTGTAGCTTGTTTCATATTTCTGCTGTCTTTGTCACTTTTGAACCTATGCTCTCCTTTTCCCAAATAGAGGACTTTTTTTTCCAGTGTTTGTTGCATTGATTTAGAAATGAATTCTTGAGACTCGTCTTCAACATTTTGCATAGCAGAGTAAATTGGTAGTGCCTGTTAGTTATTTTTGTAGCCATAGCAGAGTAAATTGGTAGTGCCTGTTAGTTATTTTTGTAGCCCTATGAATTGATATTTGTGGTTTGTAGTGAATTTTGTTTTGTGTTAAGAGTTCTAGTTGCCCTCTCCTTGCAGGTACTTGCAGCCGAAAAAAGAGAAAAAAGCTTGATAAAATGGTTCCTCCTACCTTTGTCCTGTTCTGTATTTTTCCATTCAGTCGCTTAGTGGTTGCTGCCACTTTTTTGAAATCATATGTAAGTGGTTTTAAATTACATGACCACTACTAGTAAATTCTATCCTATTGATGTATTAACTAGTGGTTTACTGCCAAGTTGGTCATATTCAGTTACAACTCGAGATTTGGAAATTGTATATTTTGAATAATTTGCTCTGAGATTCTGAACTACGGGGAGTGCACAAGTGTAACTAATGTCCAGGAGTTGAAAATTGCATTTTTGATCTAATAAGGAATGGTCTAATAATGGTTTTTGAAAATCACTCTATTTGTTTTTGGTGTAATAAGAAATGGTCATTCTTGAGCTAGGTCTACGCACAAAAACAAAATCGCATTGATGCCTATTGGAGTCACTATTGCATGGTAATTGGCAACAACACTAACTAAATGATAGGACTACCAAAAGGTATCAGGCATAGTATCCTTGTTAACATTTTAGTCGCGGTTGGAAGCATATCAAGTATGTGTATGTTAAATAGTAGTTTGAGTGTGTCATTGTGTACATTTGGAAAATCTACCCAAGGGAATTGAGTGTGTAATTGTGTATACGGAGTGTTTGGTAAATCCACCCAAGGGAATTGACCTGTAGGGATGGTTTGGAAATCACTTGTGGAGGAGTTTGTGTAAATTCTAAGCTCTTCTGTTGAGGGGAGTTTTGTTTGTAGATAGTCTAGATAGGAGGAAAAGAAAATTTCAGTTTATCATTCTTCTAGCTAAAGTAGAGAAAGAAACTGCAGAGTCCAAACTGAAACAGACTAAATGAGAGAAATCGGGGGAGGGAGGAGGATAACCACGATTTTTCAAGAACACTAGAAACATAGATAGTTAAACAGCATAGTTTGTAGGACTGATACATAAAACAATTGGTAATAATAACCATAACAAAGAAGACTAAATTTGAGCTATTTGAATACAAGCTCATACTTTTATCCTGCCTACATTATCGGTTTCGACCAAAGGAAGAAAAGGCCAAATAGACGATAGTGTCAAAGGATGGTAATCCTCCACCACCCCGCAGAACTTAGAACAAAATGGAAAACCATAATCATCATCGAGGTAACAAGGGAATGTTTCCAACTGCTGGGTATCTAAATGGTAGATGAAATATCTTTTTTCCCATCTCACGAAAATACAGTTTGATCTTCCTGGAACAAATGATACAACTGCAAATGCTGTTTTGGGCCTCTGGTGGTTCGGCATAATTGTAGCCGTGGATGACGATGACGACGACGACGACGCGGGTAGTAACACGTCTAAATTGTTGATCCAAATAGAATCAAGAACCACCCGGTAGCACAATTTCCATGGATCAATAGTGGAGGAATTAGTTTCGGTAGAGTTGTGATTAAGAAGAACCCAAACTTTGAAGCATGTTGAAGTGCCAGCAACGTACCGAAGAAAGCCTTGAGGGGAGGCGTCAAAAGATTCAGCAAAAAGACAGATAATAGTTGGAGTGTCTTCGTCATACTCTGCTCCGCTGTACCCCTCACCAACCCGTGGGAGTTTAATAAAATTGATCATGCGCCTCCTCCCATTAGTATGATGAGGAGCTATATGGCGGTAGCCTCCATCTACGATTTCAACCCGCCAATAGACGACATCCTCAATCACCTTCACAACAAACCCACTTTGGAGTGCAAAACCAGTAGGGCAAGTGAGCACGGATTGCTCCCACTCTCCAGTGACTGAAGAGAAGGTCTGAATCAACAATGCGGCGTTACCGGTATTCGCAACTATCACCTTAAACTGATGCTGCTGCTGCTGCTCCAAGATGGCTGTGGAGATATTCTTAGAATAATACTTGGGAGGTGGAGGCAATTTGATGCGTTGCCGGGTTACCAGATCAGACACATAATATTTCCTTGGATGAACAGCCGATAGTATGAAGCGGCCGTTGGGTGTGGCGGCCATGAAATAACCCGCCCTCTTCATCAATTTGCTTCGGTTTAGAGCCCGCCCTATTTCGCTCGTAGCCAACAATTGAACTGATGGCGGTAAAGGGTACCACTTTCGAGGAATATCGGTGTACCCCGGGTCGCAAATCATGAATCCCACCATTGTGGAACCCTCAATTTCCCATCTCCTCGTGTAATCTTTCCGGAAAGAATGACTCGTTATCAATTCCAGCCATTCCTTGGAAACTAGCATGTATCTGAAGATATATTTGGGTGACACTCTTAGGAGAATCTCGTACCAAATATCCTGGTTCGCTGACAAAATTGGATTATAGGACAAAGTCATCATTCCCGTTACACAATTAAGATTAACAAAAGATAGGCCTTTTTCCCAATGTACATAAAAAAACTATACACACGGCCTTTTTATAGAGATACATACTGCCGGAACCATGACCGATTCCTACTTGTAATCGTTCTTGACCACTCATGCCCAAAGAAGAATTAGTAAATTGCAGAGAAGAGCCATCAACTATTGGAAAATACTCCTTAAACATTAAATTGCATCAAACACCTCCAAGTCTTAATTTTATTTTATTTTTCTTTAAAAAAAAAAAAAAAGTTTAACCCAGCTGTACCAGATCTGTTACTACAATAATCCGTAATTTATCACAACTGTTATAGTAGTCATGGACTCACGTCATACATGCGCTGATCATTGATGAGTACAAAACAAGCAGCGCAGTCCACACCATTTCTCATTACTGCAAGTCTGCAAGGATCGTTATGAGCCGGCTTTCATTAGATACACTAATTTGGGGAACATTAACTTGCAATGTGTTTCTCAGCTAGTTTTGGAATTTTGCTCGCGTTAAATCTTTAATGTTTTGACCCCATCCCAGGAAGCAATGAGGAAATATTCACTGGAGACAGCCAAACTTGAACCTAAATACGTACCTCCAGAACGCTTACATTCATCCTGTTTTAATTGATAACATCTACAAAAGTCAAAACAGATACCCTTTATATATTCCTCTTGCCCTTTGCATTCCATCTCTCTACAGGACTTAATCAACAACGGTGGAAGACAAGGAAAAATCCATTATCACTTCCCCCATGTTTGGCCAAAGAAACCATGGAGACTTCTATTAGCTTCTCAAAATAACTTCTGTGATAACCAAAATATTTGAAGGCCTGTATTACGCACAAGATAAATGCATCACATAGAGATCCTCTAGCAATCAGCTGTTTAGTTATCATATTCATACATTTGAAAAAACCTAATACCAAAGCTTCAGCATACCATAAGCCACAAGGCTTCAGATGTTGAACTGGCCTCCTCGGTAAGGACATTTTTCAGGAAATCAAACAGGGACGACAAATTATCCTTGCTCGGGTTATCTAGACATCTCATGTTGATTGAAATATACAATGTCCATAATGGCACTGAATAAGAACACATTCCTGAGCAAAACTTTTCACTAAGTTTTTTTTCCTTCATCTAGTTTCCTCAGTTTCCAATAATAAGGTAACATGCTGACAAGCAAGATCCCCAGAGAGCAACCCCAAGTTTTCTGCTTTTTCATATACCCTCAATAAATGAAAAACAGGACCTGTGAGTTGTCCAGGTTCACCGGAATCAGCTGAAGTTTGGGTGTCTGAAAATTTGTGACTGATGGCATCCACTAAGAACTTCACATAAAAGTTGAACAAAGGAACTGAAGACAGAACCCTCAAACCCTCCTCGTATAACTACACATATCAGAACTAAGATTAGTGGAGAAAGTATTTTCTTGCCAAGGGACTACAGGACAAAATTTTTAAAACCAGATAACTTTAAAACCCTATGACACACGGACTATCGACAAGATAAGAAACAGACAAACATGTTCACCTAATGAACAAGACAGTCATTCTAAAATGCTCTATCAGTTTTGGGACAAAAGACTCCAACACCCAGCTTCATTTTCGAGAATTTACGATGGATGCTTTCATTAAACATCACCACTATACAGAAATGACACAATAAGGGCATCACAGTTGTTCAGCATCACTCAATTTTTAAACTACAGCAAAGACAAAATCCTGAAGCAAATTTTCTCTCCTGGGAAACCATAAAAAGACACTGTAGGCAACATGCAACCATTAAACAAATGAAGCTGATGAGAACAAGTATACTATGCAAACAATATTCTTAGTGTCTTTTCTTTTAATGTTCAAATGAAGTACAACTGCATGAACAAAATGGAACTATACCTCAACACTTTTGAGAAGTCCCTTTGTAAGTCTGCAAGTATCTCATCCCGCATACTATCTGACTGAGCTAAGTCTGTTGCATCTAGGATCTCAAGAAATCTAATTCTTAACCCAAAACTGGAAGGGTGTGCTTCAATTGCCCCACTACAAATTGTTTGAAAAATGCTCAAACCTTGTTTTCGAAGGAGATCTACATCCTCATTTGACTTCTCATCGGCATTTTTGTCGTCAAGCTCCATAAAAAGTTAACCGTTCTCATTTCTCCATTGCATCTCAGAATTAACTTTGGCATCGCGCAGTAATGTTCCATCATCCTCTCCCAAAGCAACCTTTCGAGCCTTTAACTTATTTAGATATGTGAGCTCCATGGGGAGGTATTCTACCCATAGATCCTCAGAATTTGGACAAGCTCCCAAACCTCTTTGCATGAGAGCACGACCAGCTGCAGCATTCAAATTGTGGTCAAACTCCCATGCAGCAGCATATATCCACACCCCAGGCACTTTTGGATGAAATCTAATAACTTGGGCCAGTGCTTACAACAAAAAGAAACAAATTTAAATACAGTTAGCCACCAACCAGTCACCCAATTAGCACCATAAAAATCACAATACTCAGTGCATATACAAAATACCAACCATGCACAAATGTATCTGAAATCCTGCTAAGGATTACGATAAGTGACCATATAAACATAAATTTAGCTGTCATTTCCTCAGTATTTTGGGCTCTATGCCAACTTCATTTTGCTCTGGGTTAGATGCTTAGAACAATTAATGAATCCAATTTCCCCAAAAAATTAAAAATAAAATCTATCTTCATAGTTCATACAAAAATAACTGATTACAGCATCTGTAGAATTTTTCTCTTCAATTACAAAAATTATTCAAGTAACTAAACAGACACACAACAAAAGAAATGCAGCTTCCGCTTCATTCATGCATCTCAATCATACCAAAGCTGCACCATTCCATACACAATTTAATTTCAAATTTACATACCTACAAAAAAAAAAATCATCACAATCTAATACGAGGTGAAGAACAAAAGTTTCTAGTTTTTCTAACCTTTTTCATTCTCCCATTGCGTTTTTGCCTACAGAATTCTAAATACTGAAACCAGAGCTGAATATCTCCCTTAAATCTAGTTGTAGCCAGCCGATATATATCAACGATTCTCGCTGTTCCGGCGTAGTCCGACACTGATTTCTTCCAATTTTTGCTCTTCCCGCCGCTTTGCTTCAACATTGCTTTCTTCCGTAGAAGCCGCAACTCGTCCAGCCTCTTTTCATAGTCAATGTAAGCCACAAAATCTTCTTTCAACGGACTCGGCCTCTTCAGCCGATACTCGAACTTCCGGCGCTGCTTCACTATCTCGGCTATCTCCCGCCGATTAAACAAACCACGCCGCTCTAAATCGTCCAGCTCATTCAGCATTCGCTCCAGCTTGTACTGTACGACGTCCGCCATTTTTGTCCTTTCCTTCCTTTTTTTTTCCTTTCTGTTTTTTTCTCTGTTCTGCTTTTTGTTTTGGTAAGGGGTTTCGGGAAACGGGGAAGGGTTTTAGGTTTCCTATTGATTGGGGACGACGAGGAAGAGAGTATAGACCATTTGGGCCTGTTTATGGGCTATGGCAATGCTTTATGTTGTTGGATTTGATTAGACAATCAAGCCTTGTCCAAATAAAGCTTGGGCCCTTTACTTGTTGGATACACTCGATTACAGAGAAATAAAAAATGTGTTCAATTCCAATTCGTTTTGGACAATTATGTCTCTAAACTCTTTCTTCTTCTTCAACATACACTAATTACATTAATTATAAATAAATTTAACTAGATTAATTAAACAATAAAAAAAATATAAAACTAAAGTAATTATACAACAAAATAATGATAACAAAAATTAATATAAAAATAACACAAAAAATTAGAAAAAGAAAAGGTAAGGGCGATCGGCCACCCTGGGCAAAGAAAAAATTCAAGTTTATTTTTTAATTTTTTTTAATTGTTATTATTTTTTTATATTTACTTTAAGTTTTATTTTTTGTATTATATTTACTGATTTAATAAAATTTTTAATTTAATTGAATTTATTAGGAGACTGCCTTTGTGTGCTTTATGATAATGAGGAAATTAATATAGATGTGTGGGTAATGAAGGAATATGGAGTAAAAGACTCATGGACTAAAATAGTTTCAATTCCGTGTAATTTCCTGGAAGATTTTGGTATTTCTCTGCCTGTTTGCTTGTTAAGCAATGATGATATACTTTTGATAATTCGTTCAATGTTGGTACTTTATAGTCCCAAGAGTAATAGCTTTAGATGGTATCCTCAGGTTAGCAGAGTTGAAAATGTGGGCATATTCGTTGACAGTTTGCTTTCACCCGATCTCAGTGATGAAGAACAGAGGCTCCGGTTAAACGGCTAGAGAAACTAAGTAGAGTAAATGTTTCTCTCTGGTTTTGGATTTCTTCTCATTCTTCAATGTGTATGTTACAAGTAGCATTTGAAGTATGGCTTGTATCTAGTTGGTGCAAACTTTTCTCACAATGAAAAGAATGCATTACTGAGTGAAAGGGTTGCATCACCATGTGTATATAACTCTTGGCTGGGAATTTCATTCTGGACTATATGCAAGTGGAAATCTCCATTGGGTTGTATCTGGTATATATTTGTGGCTGGAAATTTCTTAGCCTTGATTTGGCGACTGAAACGTTAGGAGAAATTGATTGGCCAAGTTCCAAATTGATTGGAGAAATTGCTTGGTCGGTTGGAACATTAGGAGGCTGCCTTTGCGTTCTTTATGATTATGAGGAAAGTAATATAGACGTGCTAGATGTGTGGATTATGAAGGAACATGGGGTGAAAGACTCATGTACTACAATCGTTTCAGTTCCTTCCATGGGTGTTCCTGAAGAATTTGCAATCCTGTTTGCCTGTTACTTGTTAAGCAATGGAGATATATTGTTTATCATCCACTCAGTATTGGTACTTTATAGTCCAAAGAGTAATACATTCAAGTGGTTTCCTCTGATAAACAACGTTGAAGAGGTGGGTGTATTCGTTGAGAGTTTAGTAGCTCCTGATTTCTGTGGTGGAGAGCAGATGCCACTAAAGTTAAATGGCTAGAGAAAGTAAGTAGAGTAAATGATTCTCTCATTCATTTCCTTTTATAATTCAACATCTATGTATCAAGTAGTATCTAAGTACTGTATGTATCTAGTTGTTTCAGACTGTTGTTCCGAAGAGAAGAATGTACTCTATATATTCTCTGCTGCTTGCAAGTTACACTAGTTCAGATATTTGGAGATTTGGTGTTCGATATCTACAATTACGTGCTTAGATTGTCTTCTAGTGTCATGTTGAAGTTCCTTTGGTTTATTCATTGGGGGAAGCATTAGTAACCTGAAAGAAAACGAAATGAACTGAATTTTGGAAAAACATAAACACTGTTGTACTCTGACAGTGACTTATTTACATCACTGGGGTAACTGTCGAAAGAAATATGACCAGTTGTCGATTAGAAAATGCAAACTATGTCTAGCATAAGCAATATCTCTTCTGATCTGCCAACTTAAATATTTTGTGTAATCACCATGGTGATATTTTGTTTCTTAATTAGTTGAAAGCTCTGAGCTATGTGGCCTGTTGTAGGTTAAAGGTCTGTAACATTTTTAAAAGCACGTAACTTATCATTTTCTTGAATTCCACATTGATAATAAGATTTTGAACATTTCCTCCTTATTGATCCCAATTCTTTCCTTTCCTTCCCAACGAATGTAACGTACATGTAAATATGTGCACAATGTAGTCTGAGAATTACTGCATATAGATGTGGTTCAAACCACAAAGTTTGGAATCCATTCATATTCTGCCTGTAGAGATCATGAAAATTGAAAACCTCTATTTGCGAGTTGTTTCTTTATGTTATTTTCATTCTCTTTGTGGGCCTGCGATCATAGTGACTTCAGAACATACTTTGATGAACTTTGCTATTACTGTCCTGCATTCCTGACCTTCTTGTTCTTAGGTCATATTTTTCCTTTTCATTGTGATCGAGTTGACTATGGCCTCCTTGTTTTGAGTCATCATGGCTTTGGGGTCGAACTAGTAACAGACAGATTTCCAAAGAGGAGCTGTCAAGCTGATTTTGTCGTAAAATTTCTGCAGCCTTTGATGATGAGCTCAGGTTGGCTAGTGTTTCCTTTTCTTGTTGTTTTGGTTAAGTAAAATGCTTATATTACCAGTTGCGGCTCCCACTATGTTGTCGTACGATTACAACACAGTTGCTGTATGCATTTCATTGATGGAGATCACTAGATTCTTCATGATACCTTGTAACCCATGCTCTGAATGCACTACTCAGTGTCAAGCTGCGGTTTCCTTCCAGTTTGTATCATCTGGTTAAAAACCATACATGAGACTTAGGGTACATTTTTTTTTCCCCCTTTATTTCTTCATCACTTGCAACGTAAAGGTTGACTATTAATTTCTAACGTTGCATTTTGCATAATCAGTGCTTTAAATTATCAGATAATCAATCTGTGATGTGCTGGAATTAGGGCATTTAGGAACTAAAGTAGTCTACTTTTTGGACAGAGAAAGTACTATTGTTATTGTAAGAATTTTGTAGCGCCTTATTTTGAAAAATATCAAGATTATTTTCGACCACAAACAATATAAATCAAGAATCAGCTAATGTTGCTTTAAGGGCTCTGCGGACACGTTAATTTTGTCCTAAGGATCATATTTAAACAACTAAGTTACTGTAGTTTTTGAATATTTTTAACAAGAAAAATGTGATTGAAATTACAACTGCATGTATATTTTCAACAAGCATGATTAATATTATCTTCACGGAAGGGTTAAAAATTGTGATTAAATTTACGTAATTTAAGACTTTTTTGGCAGAAATCATACATGTTGAAACACCAAATAACACAGTACACCCAAACCCTAGCAGCCGCCTCTCTCCCCTCTTTCTCTCAAACCCCAACTCCAAAAAAAACATTTCTTCCCCCAACTTCTCATTATGGGAGGATGGGGGAATTAAACTTGTTTAATCGTTTTTCGCTTTGTTATTTATCGTTTAATAAGTGAGGTTATTCTTACAATAGTTCCTTCAATAGGTTATTTAGATAATCTTTTGAGAGGGTAGGGTTTTCTTGTTCGCAGTGTTTTTTCAGTAGGTTATTCCACTGAGAGGTAGGTCCGTTTTGCAGTGTTCATAGCGGCGTTGAAGATGTTCGCAACGTTACATATGCCCCATGAAGAATCAGTCACCGCAGATCTAATATTTAGATATGTGGTTTGGAGTTTTCAACAGCATTTTAAAGATATATTCGAGATCAGATTCAAACTCTGGTACGTGATATGTCCGTCAATTATATGGGTAGATCTGTATAAGTTTATCCACGGTAAACACAACAAAGTGATACATTGTAAGTTGTGTTTGACTGTTTCTTTGTATCAATCAATCGCAGCTAGACGATTTCCAGTAAATGAATGAAAATACTATTTTATTTCAAAAAAAAAAAACACCAAAAAACACCAAATAACACAATTACATTTCAAAAAAAGAAAAAGAAAAAGAAAAAGAAATATTAAATAGGCACATTACAATCAGAGTAAACGATTAAACTTTATGGGACTCCATTATAAGATGTTGTAAATTGGGACTCCTTTTCAGTAAATCTGAATATTTGATAAAGGAGAAAATCACCCATATTTAGAACCATTTTCGGGGCAATTTCACTTAGGGCATTGCCATTTGCAGATCTAAGAATTACTCATTTACAGCTGTTTGGACATTTTGACCCCTGAGTACTATAAAGAGTACTAAAACACATAGTTTCAAATGATTTCTTTCTCATCTTTTTCTTCAACTCTCAAAGAAAAAATATCCAAAAATCATAATGTCAAAATTTTATCAAAAAATTCGAAAAATAAATAAAATTAATTTAACTCTAAATTAAAATGTCATTTATATAAATAAAAATTACTAATACTACCTACTTAAATTTAAAAAATATAAATAATAAAGATTAATACTAATCATTTTTAAAAAATAATTTTTGAAAAATATAATAAACAATTGAAAAAATAAAAAAAATAAAAAAATAAAAAAAATTATGGCTCTTAGGTAGCCGGTTCTGGGCCGGCTACCCTTAGCCATCATTTTATTTTTATTTATTTTATATATTTTTTATTATTTCAATTATTCACTATATTTTTTCAAAATTATTTTTCTTTTTAAATGAGTAGTATTAATCTTTGTTGTTTATAATTTTTAAATTTAAATAAGTAGTATTAGTCATTGTTATTTATGTAAATAAAATTTAATTTAGTGTAAAATTAATTTTTTTTTCAAATTTTTTGATAAAAATTTTGACATCATGATTTTATAAAAATTTTGACATCATGATTTTTACATTTTTTTTTCCTTTGAGAGTTGAAGAAGAATACGAAGAAATAATTTGAAACTAGAAGCATTCTACTGAGAAGCGAAGAATCCACTGCGATTTCAGCCAGCCATGGATTCCAATGGCGACCCGGCACTTCCTTCTCCGAACCTGCCAAAAAGGAGCAGAATTGATGCACATGAAGAGGAGGGATTTGGTTCCTCAGCTCCGGTTCAAGCGGCTGCCCCGTACGTTTTCCCCAATGTTCCTGACGAACTCTGCTTCGAAATCTTTTCAAGATTACCAGCCAAATCCTTGGGTAGATTTGAACGTATATCCAAACCATGGAAGTCTTTAATCTCAAACCCGAATTTCATCAAAGCCCATCTCCGAATTGCGTGTGGAAGGGATGATTTGGGTCATAAAGGTATCATCTTTAGATCAAATTCTCCCTCCCACATAAAGAAATGCTCTGTTAGTTCTGTTGTGGATCCAGCCACAGGTGAAGCTTTCACCAGTACCGAGCTATCTGACACTGATTATCCAATGAAAGACACAGGTAAGTCAGTTAGGATTGTGGGTTCTTGCCATGGATTTGTTTGCATTTCTGTTGATAATGGAAAAGAGTTGTTTCTGTGGAACACTTGTATTAAGAAGTCTAAAAATTGCGTGATAGCTATATAGAGAATCAGCCTACTCGTTTTGATATATTTGGGTTTGGTTATGATGAATTGAATGATGATTACAAGGCCGTCAGGGTTCATATTCCAAGTGGACTTGATGTGACTGAAGTTAGAGTGTATAGTTTAAAGAATGATTCTTGGAGTCCTGTTGGATTAGAAAAGGATATTGTTCCGTCTGGATTTTACTCTGGACAATATGCAAATGGAAATCTCCATTGGGTTATGACCCTACGTGGTAACAATGAATGGAAATTCTCAGGTTTGATTTGGCGAGTGAGAGATTTGGGGAAATCGAGTGGCCAAGTTCGAAAGAGGGTCTAGATGATTGGTCAGTTGGAACTTTACGAGGCTGCCTTTGTGTCCTTTATGATTATGAGGGAAGTAATGTAGATTTGTGGATTATGAAGAAGCATGGAGTGGAAGACTCATGGACTAAACTCGTTTCTGTTCCTTACATAGATTATCCTGAAGATTTCTCATCCTCTTTGCCTGTTTGCATGTTAAGCAACGGTGATATACTATTGATCATCCGTTCGATGTTGGTACTGTATAGTCCTAAGAGTAACACTTTCAGGTGGTATCCTCGAATAAACAAAATTGACGAAGTGAGTATATTTATTGAGAGTTTTGTATCACCTGATTTCCATGATGGAGAGCAAGGGCCATTCTAGTGGAATGGCTAGAGAAAATAAGTAGGGTAAATGATTCTTTCAGGTTCTTGCATTTCTTTTCAGTCTTCTAGTAGTATCTATGTATGGCATGTATCAACTTGGTTTGGACTTGTTTCCAATGACAAGAATGCGCTGTTGATCCTCTCTACTTCTTTTGAATACAATGGTTAGTTCAGATAGCCGAAGAGTTGGTATTTATATCTGTATTTACGTGCTTAAAATATCTTCGAACATCATGTTGTAGTTTCTTTTGGTTATTTTCAATTTTTCTTTTTCTTGATATTAATAGGGAAAAGTATGAACCTGAAAAAAGATAAACTGAACTAGCTTTGGGTAAAAAGCCTAAATGATGCTGATGACGCAGAACTTGACACTTATTCTTTTAATCTGCTGGATTTTGTCCTCTCTTGTCGGTTGTTCATGCTTTTTCTTTTCGTTCCGATTGAGTTGACATGTGCAAGTAACTGTCCCTCTTGTTCTTTAAGAAGCAGCTTTTGCCCTGAAAATTCTCTGTAAGCAGCCCTCAATACGGACTTAGTTTAGCTATAGTATCTTCCTAGCAAAACATATGATTGCCCTCTATACCGACTTACACGTTGATTAATGTTGTTTCCATTGCTTATATCGATGCCTAATTCTCCATTCGTTCCATTTGCCTATTTGCTTGTTTAAAAAATGGCGAGTCACTATTGATCATCCATAACGTGTTGGTACTTCATAGTCAATAACGCATTTAGGTATCATACCATTATGGATGCGAGTTTATTTGTTGAGAGGTTGGTTTCACTTGATCCCCAGTGTTGGAGAAGGGAGGTAACTTTGTTTAAATAATAGAAAAAGTAAAGCAGAGTAAAAAGTTCTCTCTGCTTTATTTGCATTTCCTTCTTTCCTGTTTCAAGTAGTTTTTAAGTATGGCATGTATGTCGTTGGTTGGTTCGGATTGTGATTTCAATAACGAGAATGTAACATTGATGATATTCTCTTGTTCTTTTAAACTTCCCCTGAGTAACATTTAGTTAGTGTTGCCTTTCTGTGAGTTTTGAATGTATAAACACGATTTTGGTACAACGATTAATGGGTGTTAATTAATCTGGTATTTCCTCAAATGAAGGAGTCTCTCTAATTCCTTGAAAGTTTCCTAAAACTGTACAATTAAAAAGGCTCGAATTCATTGCCATTTTGTTGAATCGCAAGTATAAAAAAGTCTGCAGAAATCAGGATCGGTTAACGCAACTGTTACCGTAGCAAAATTTCACAAATAAGTTTCCAGATCCGAGTTCTGTTGTTGTCAGGAGTTGCTAGTGCTACACCTGCAAGAATGAGCTTAACGAGTTACTCGCTCATGATTCATGAATCTTGGTGCAAGAACTGTGGTTTATGTGGACTGTGTTCAACCAAGGTTTGTATTCTTGTGGTCAATTGCTTTTTGTAACAAATCTTCACGATTTGAACATGGAACGAATAGGGCTTTTTTTTAAAAAAAAATCTTGAAAATGACTCATTTGATATACTTATTATTTTACGTTCACAAAATTAATTAGATGGAAAATTACACAATTTGAGTTTAAGCTGCGTCTTTCAATTAATAATGCTGATAAATTATGCTTCTCTTGTTGGACTTTTTGCTGTAAAAATTTGTTCCATTTCAACGCCTTTGTACATTTCTTTTTGACCTTTTATCATTTTAAGTGACCAAATTAACTCATATTGACTAGAGCATTATCCTAAGTGTTAGAGCCTACAATGATGCACATATAAAATCTTTTGGTCATGCCTTTTTTTGCCCAGTATTAATCTTTCTTCTTCTTCTTCTTCCTTTTTTTTTTTTTTTTTTGGAGAAAAGGATTATGTTATACTCCTTCCGTCCCATAATATTGTTCAGTTTGAGGTTTCATTTCTAGTTCAAATTGTACTAAAAGTGAAATCTCAAACTGGACAATAATTTTGGGACGGAGGGAGTAACTTCTAACTTACATGATAATACGACGGGAATAAGTTCCGCCAACTACACCATAGCCATTGAAAAACATGCGATGCCGGTGAATTTAGATGTGTTGGAAATTTTAGTTTGTAAAATAAAATAATTAATTTAAAGTTGAAGGATAAAATTAAGTTGGCAACCCTTCACATGCTTGGTGGTTATTTCCTACAAGCCAAGGGTTGTGTACTTATTTTGTATCCTTTTATTTCTACAAATGTTGCCTATAAATAGGTGAATTAGTGCAGGAATTCATTTTAACTTTTGCATTCCAAAATCCTGAAGAACATTTAATAAGTTGCAAATTGCATGTTCTAGTGTTCTTAAGTCCTAGAGGCAAATTGCCATTCAACCCTGTTTGCAATTTAGTGGGGGGTAAATATTGTCTTAAGGGCAGTATTTGACACGCTTAAAACACTTTCAATTCTTTGTGAATTTTCTTTAGTTGTTGAATTTCAGATTCCATCAGTAAAGTTTCTTTTCTCCATCTTTGTTCTTTGGTTCATATTGTGTTGTTTCTTTTGTTTCCATCCCCCGATTGCAAGTCTAACAAGAAGCAAAAGGGAAATAACATACCAAGTGCAAATCTTGTTGAAGATAGTGCACCGGTTGTGGCGGTTATCCCGCTTGGAACCGTGACCGAGTTGAACATGGCAACAACCACTTCCTTCCAAGGATTGGTGGTACGATTCTGAGGCTGGAATTCACGTGGGCAACGACAATGATCAGTTTAAGAACTATGTTGTTCTTGAAGGATATGAAGTTGTAATGGTAAATGGTGTTAGGGCTCAAGTTCAAGGCAAAGGAGAAGTGCATTTGCAATTCACCTCGGGAAAGAAACTAGTCCTAACTAATGTACTTCATGTTCCTAGTCTTGTTAAGAACCTTGTATCAGCCGACATCCTTAATGAAAAGGGATTGAAGGCAGCCATTGAACCTGACAATGTAATCTTGTCAAAGAATGGGGTGTTTGTAGGAAAGGGGTACTCTTGTAATGGCATGTTCAAGTTGAGTATCAATAAGATGAATGATGTTTCTATTTATTCGATTGAGTCTTCTTATTTTCTTTGGCATGGTAGATTAGGACATATGAGCCATAAAGTTGTTTATTTTATGTCTAAAAATGGCTAATCAATTTAAGTGACTTGGAAAATAAGAAATGTGAAACTTGGGTGCAAGCCAAAATAACAAAGTTGCCATTTTCTAAAGTTGAAAGAAATACATCTTTGCTTGAATTGGTGCATTTGGATGTATGTGAACTTAATGGATTTCTAACTAGGGGAGGTAACAAATACTTTGTGACTTTCATAGATGATTGTTCAAGATTTGTGCAAGTTTATCTAATGAAAACAAAAGATGAAGTATTTGGTATGTTTAAAGTTTACAAGTCCCTTTGAGAATCAATTAAGTAAGAAAATAAAAATTTTGAGAAGTGATAGAGGAGGTGAATACTTCTCGAATGAATTCTCAAAATTTTGTGAAGATAATGGTATTGTGCATCAAACTAGTGCACCTTATACACCACAACAAAATGGTTTGGCTGAAAGAAAAAATAGAACTCTATGTGACATGGTAAATGCTATGTTAGTGAGTTCTGGATTGCCAAATAATTTGTGGGGTGAAGCTTTATTGGCTGCATGTCATTTGCACAATAGAATTCCGTCCCTTAAGACTAAAGTGCCACCATATGAAATATGGAAGGAAAGAAAACCAAATCTGAATTATGTGAAGGTTTGAGGTTGTGTGGCCTATGATCGTGTCCCGGATAACAAAAGAACAAAGTTGGGACCTAGAGCACTCAAAAGTGTGTGGGCTACGCTGAAAATGCTAAAGCCTATAGGCTACTAGATGTTGATTCTAATGTTATTGTAGAATCAAGAGAAGTGTAATTTTTTGAGAATTTGTTTCTCAAATATTCAAAAGTAAGTAGTGATCCTTTTTATGTGCCTAACACTACTCAAAATGTGGCAATTCCAAGTAGTTCTTCTAGTGAGCTCAAAAGGAAAGAAAATGATTCTCCTATGGAACCAAGGAGAAGTGGAAGGCAAAGGAAAGAAAAACAATTGCCTTCGGACTTTATATCTTCTCAGGCTATTGTTTTCTTAGTTGAAGGCAATAGGGATTTTGTACTTAGCAAAACTCCAATTTTGCTTAGTGTAGAAGAAGATCTAAAAACCTTTAGAGAAGCTATGAATTCAAGAGATGCCACATTTTGGAAAGAAGCAGTCAATGATGAAATAGATTCAATATTATCTAATAATACTTGGGTTCTGGTTGACTTGCCTCAAGGCTCTAAGCCAATTGGGTGTAAATGGGTATTTTGAAGGAAATATGCCACAAATGGAACTATACTTACTTATAAGGTAAGACTAGTAGCAAAAGGATTTAGGCAAAAAGAAGGAATTGACTACTTTGATACTTATGCACCAGTGGCAAGGATTACTTCGATTAGAGTAATCCTAGCGTTGGCTTCCATTTACGATTTACCAGTTCATCAAATGGATGTTAAGACAGCATTCTTAAATAGTGATTTGAATGAAGAGGTGTACATGGAGCAATCGGAAGGCTTTGTGCTACCGGGTCATGAAAACAAGGTGTGTAAGTTGGTTAAGTCATTATATGGACTTAAACAAGCCCCGAAACAATGGCATGAGAAATTTGAATATATTTTACTTTCACATGGTTTTAGATATAATCATGCTGATAAATGCATTTATACTAAAGGATGTGATGAGTATACAGTGATCATTTGTCTATACGTTGATGATATACTCATTGTTGGTACCACATTGAAAGGTGTGGTTGAGACTAAGAAATATCTTTCTTCTAAGTTCCAAATGAAGGATCTTGGTGAAGTAGATACTATCTTAGGAATTAAGGTTAAGAAGCATAGTGAGGGTTTTGTACTCTCTCAATCACATTATGTGGACAAGATACTAACAAAGTATCAACACTTGAATGTGAAGGAAACATCCTCTCCTTATGATCGTAGCATGAAACTTTCTGTAAATAAGGGTAAACC